TACATACAGTTTCTCAGCCAATGGAATACATTAAGGAATTAAATGATAAAACTACCCAAAACATAAAAGGATCAGGGCATATGGTTGCTGTATTCACACCACCTATTTCTTCCAAAAAAAAAAACCTATTTAATTCTCTACCACATGATGTTTCAATGAAGACTCCAACTAGGAAATCTTCTGTAGGTTCTCTTTCTCCTAGTGAACTTGGAGAATTTGGTTGGGGGATGCTACAAAAATCACCAAATATGACAGTCACACCTCTTGCCTGTAACCTTATCTCAACTCCCAGAAAGAGTTCAAGGGTAACTAAACCTAGTAATAGTCTCCCTCCACCACCTTCTAAAATCAGGAAACAACATATGAATAGAAACAATTCCATCCTTGAAAGAAGTTTATCACTTCACCAGTTCAGTACCTCTAATGATCCTACAGTTGAACAAAGAGATGTGGCAACTATGGACTCACCCTTTAAAAAGGAACAGAAAAAAGTAAACCTTTCTTCTCCATTTTCCCCCAAGGAGCACTTTCACCCTTTAGCTGGTGTAGGGTATGAATGGCTTGATTACTCTCCTCTATTCACTACCCAGAATACAATAGAACAACAGGGCAGTGATAACTCAGAAACTTCTGTAAGACCACCTGAAGAGTTAAAGATGGCTCTTACTTATGAACAGCCTTCTGCATCTAATGAGGTGGCTTCTCCACCTGCTAAGCCCAAGTCTCCTTTGGTACCTTCTTATGCCCTACGTCGTACTGCAGATAGAAGGCAGAGACAGGCTGCAGCACGGCTTGCAGATCCAAAAGCTTCACCTCAGCTTTCAGAAGACCGTCTAGAAGTGATTTCTGCTAGTCCTCCAACCTACGAGGTTGAGCTGGAGATGCAAGCTTCTGGCTTACCCAAGCTTCGTATCAAAAGGGTAGACTCTACTTCTGTCAGTACTGAAAACCAAAAAAAGGTGGACACATCTCTGGGAGGAGAGAACTTTCCTGATCTTGGGTGCTTGTTGCGCCAGAGTAAACCTAACCAACTGGAAGCTGCTTATGTCTCGCCTCCATGTCTTCATTCTTCTCATACTACCCCAGGCAAGAGTGGGAGGCAGATGTATATCTGTCAGTCTTATACCCCAACTCACTTTCCCTCTAGCACCACCTCCCCCTCCCCAACGGATGTTTGGGTTTCCTGGACACCATCACCCAGGCATAAAGGGAAGAGCACTCCTGATACAATCCAAGACTGGCCAAGAAAAAAGAAGGCAGTGGACAGCAATATTAATTCTTGTGGTGGGAGAAATGAAAGAGGTTCAGATCTCCTGGGAAATGTGTCTGGTGTTGAAGAGGAGGGAAAGGAAAGGGTTTTTGAGCAGTGCATCAGCAAAACTGCCCTCTTGGGGGATTTTGAACTTGAAGGAGTATATTGTCTTCCAGATCAGTCGCCTTCCAGCGACTGTGAACCTAGAGCTGAAGACAGTTTTTCAAAGGGGCAATTTGGATTGTTCTCTAGGAAAAGACCGCTTTCCTCTCAGGAGGAAAATGAGCACCAAACCAGAAGATCTTGTGGCAGCCAAAAAGGAAATCAGGTCATTTCTGCTGATAACGAAACAAAGGAAGAAAGGAAATCTCCAAGTAGAAGTATAAGACAGCCTTCCTCCATGGGGGATGATGAGGTATTCGTTTCAGGTAAATATATTCTTGAGGTCGTCTTCCTATTTGGTTATCGTTGGGTATTTTTCCTATTTGGTATTGTTATTGTGCGGAGTGAACAGGCAGTTTGGGAGATGAATTCTTAGAAAGATGAGCTTGCTTATATTTTTTGTTTCCAGAGTCCATGGGGGAATGTAGCAGCGTGTTTTTCATTTATTTAGCAAATATTTTTCAGGTGCCTGTTTTGTGTCAGACACTGGGCCAAATGATGTATTTGTGGTGTGGTGTCTCTTTAGGCTCTACCCCACCTAACTGTACTGTGAGGAGTTGTCTGTCTGCTAGTGGTCTTCGAGCACTGACCCAATCTCCACTACTGTACCAAGGAAAAGCACCTTCCTTTCAGCAAAAGGATATTAGAGGTAACTTGTATTATTGATTAGCAAATCACAGTGTCAAAACTGTGACCTTTTGGGGGCAGCTAGGTGGCGCAGGGGATAGAGCACCAGCCCTGGATTCAGGAAGACCTGAGTTCAAATGCGGCCTCAAACACATAACACTTACTAGCTATGTGACCCTGGGCAAGTCAGTTAACTCCATCGCCTAGCCAAAAAAAAAAAAAACCTGTGACCTTTTTATGGTTGCCAGTCCAGTTCAACATTTATTTAAGTTTGGGCCTATGATTTCATTAGTATAGGGAACTCTAGCATGGAAGTATTTGAGTACCTTATGCATAAGGCACTAGGAATTAGGTTAGCCCAGAGTTATCAGATAAATTGTTTCTTAAGGAGTTAGGGAGAGTGGAATGCATTCTAAAGTTCTAAAATATTTTATATATAGCCTATGATGTTGTCTCCATCTCAGAAAAAGCCTCCTAATATGGATTGACAGGTATTTTTATTATAAAAAACTCCTTGCATTCTTCCAAGCACTTTATAGTCTTCTAGAAAGCAGGAAAGTAAAAATTGACGATTACCCTCAAGAAAAACCTAGGCTGGATAAGTAAAACACTGAGAAGGAGTGAACTGAAAGTAGTTAATTAGTAAAGAATAGATGGTATGTTCAAAACAATTAGGAAATTTTCATTTTATGAGCCAGTTTTCTACAATTTGTGTGTCTCTAGGTTTATGTCTGCATTTATAACGTCACCATCTGATAATTATGCTATCCATTCTAATGATAAGTGGTATAGTATAGTTGATAGAGAACTGACATAGGGGGTGAAAAATCTGGATTAAAGTCTTGCTTCTGACACATTCTGGTTCTATGACACTGACTAAGCAAGTCATTTAACCTTTCAGTTGCCCAGGAGCAACTCTCTAAATTGCAGTACAGTTACCACATTACGTTTATAGAAGGGATTTCCTCACCAGGAGTTCCCTACACTAATGAAATCTCAGTTCTGGACCAAAAAAGGGAGGAAGGGACTTCAGAACCTGTTTTTTGTGACTATTCTAAACAAGACTGCTTCTCTTTCATCCCACCAGAGAAGGAATGTTCTACTAGTTACCTGAAGAATTAACACCTGTTAACAACACTGGGTAGATAGAATTTCTTTCTTTGACCATGCTGACTGGGAATGCAGGAGGTGGGTGATAAAGACTTAAAACCACTGAACTATAATCCATTCTTTTGCCTCTAAAAGAAAGCACCAAAATTGTAAATCATGTAAATTAGCTTAAGCTCACAGTTCTGAGAAGTCAAACCAAAGGTAAAGCTTACAGTTGAAAAACTGAACTTATGCCATTGTTGCTTGGCTGTTTGCTCCCCCTTCTCTTTGTCTTCAGGTAGATGAATACTTGAATAATCTTTATTCAAGATTGGAGGAGCTGATGAAAAATTTATACTTGGTGATTTTGCTAGTCCAAGCCTACCACCGTATGGTGTCCTACAAATGTAACTATTCTCTTCTTAAAACTTTCTATTTCCAGTACTTGGTGACAATTCTAAATCTTTGCCTTTTTACAGATGAAGAGATGGATGTATTTCCAAGTACTGCGGGCCAAGAGTCTCCTTTCAACATAACAATCTCTCGGAGACATCCTTTGAATAGAACTTATACTCGGAAAAGGCTGCTCAGCTAGTAAAGTTGGGTTGTGGTCACTTGGTTATAGCCATTACTAACTTTGTCCAAGGCCACTCTGGCCTGGCACAACAGGGATTTCTCTGTTCTTGTCTCTCTTCAGTCCAAAGACTGACTTTCATCAGATGTATCAGACGCTCACAGACTTGTGTTGAATGATTTTGTGAAATGATACCAGAATACCCTGCTCATCTTCTATGGGACTGAGCTGAGGGATTTCTGCAGTGCTTGTGGCCCTTCTCAGAGCTGGAGACAAGGGCTTTTTAAGTCATTGGAGAGAGTACCAGGCATGAGAGCAGACAAAGCCAGACAGAAAGGTGCTGGGGACCTGGCTTCAAGCCTCTTATACTGTTCTCAAGCCTCTGAGTCTGGCTAGAAAGTGGGGGGTTATTTCCTGCATTCAATTCCACCATCATCATTTGCTCTACACCTCACCCAAGATGGAGCAGTAGCACCTTGGGATCATGAAGATAATGGCTAATGTGGCAGAAGAAATTGTCCACATTCCCTTTGTGTAATATAATAAATGGTTACTTGAAACACTGAGTTCAGTGTACAGATGCAATGTCACAGGAGAAAGAGCCGTGGCCTTGAGGGCACTCTGTCTTTGTACCACTTAATTATCTAAATGACTTTAAGCAAGTTACTAAACGTGGGAGCTTGTTTCCTCATCTGTAAAATCAGGGACAGCACTCTATTAAACAGGGCTGTGATCATGAAATGAGAGAACTATAAAATGTCACATAAATATAAGCTGCTGTTTCTTCCACGTTTCTAATCCTCACCATGACTAGACTGAAATCGGTTGTGACTGACATCCAACTCTAAACTTCTTTACTGGTCACTAAGGATGTATTTTCCAAAGTAATACTTTTTGAAAGTCACATTTCCATGTTTAGAAATATTTTCCTACTTTCTACTTTTCAGAAAGATGCCTGAGTTCAAAACAGTTTACCTCAGAGATAAGAAAACATTATTTTTTCTCAGTTTATGGATGGATTTGCTAACTAAATCAGTGGTGTGGGTTTAAGAGAACTAAGACCTTAGATTTAGCCCCATACTCTCAATACCTTCCTTATATTTGGCTATCTTTACCTAGACTGAAAGTGTCAAGGAAATAGTTTGTTTTTGTTTTTTTTCCTAAATAACTTCCTTTGTGCTGGTCATATCTAATTAGGACAAAGGTACTCCCACCCCACTCCCCCCCACACACACCCCTCATGTCATTGTTTTTAGCTATGCTGATAAAAATACAAACTGCAATTTCCTTGCAAACTCATTTCTTGGTTCTTAAAACTCACCTTAAAGCTTATTTATTACAAAATGATAATAAACATACTTTTAAAATACATTTACAAGGTCCTCAATCCCAGCTGTATATGTTGTAGATCACTGAAAACACACAGGCTGGTGGTATCAGCTTCCAGTAGATGTGTACTTTTGAGCATTAGCATCCTTCAATAGACCACAAATTTACTGATCTTTGAATATCATAGTTCTGTCCACTGGAGCAACACCATTCACGTCCAGATCCCAACCTTTGAGGCAGGCCTTGGGATTTCTGTCTATATTGGGTTTTTCCTAACATCAATCATCCCTTGACTGGCTCTTCGTAACTCTCGTCTTGATTTGGGCAAGGGACCCAGGCTCCGTGGCAGAAGTGGTTCACTCATAGGCAACATCCTTCCAAGAAGAGGTTCAGATACTTCTCGCTGCCTGAGCTCCTCTAAGCAGCCCTGCTCGTCACCAGACAGGGATGAGCGCTTCCATGTCAATGGTAATGGTGCACGCACTAAGTCTCGAATCTCTTCCCTGGCTTTAGGATTTGCCTCACCAAGTGATGCCTGCCAGAGCTGCTCAGAGGCTGCACCAGTCTCCTCTTCCATTCCAGCTGCAAAGGACGGTCTGTTCTCAATGCACATAGTCCGCTTCTCCCCACCTATCACCAATGACACAATTTTGTCAAGAGTTGAGATCAGGACATTTCGTCTCATATTTATAGTATAGAGGTAATATCACCATCAAGAAGGTGAGGAAGGTGGCTCTCTCGGCCTTGATGCCCCAAGGGGGAAAAAAAGGAGCAAAATTAAAAGCAGCTCAAACTTGCTGGGGAGGTAGTCACATTATTTGAAAATTGGAGAGGAACTCAGCAGCCATTTAGTCCAATCCTTACACAAAGGAATTCCCACTCTAAGACACCCAACAAATAGTCATCCTGCCTTTGCTTGAAGTTCAACAAGTTTCTGTTCCTTTCTACTTCAGGATTTAAGTTAGGCCGGTGGCTGAGCTTAATGAGAAACCTATGACAAGTTAGGTTTAACATCCCAAAAGGAAATTAAGATGATCTAGGTTAGCAACCAACTATAAACTTTACCTTTGCTCTGTCCTGTGGAATTCAAGTTATTAAGTCTCTGCTTCAATTCCTGATTTGTCCACATGTATCGGCCTAGTTCTTTCTCCAGAGCTTGGATCCTGTTTTCATACTGCCTCTTGCTGCCTGCAAGTCCTTCACCCAGCTGCTCTGAATATAAGAGGCAAGGTATGTAGGGGGAGGACCCATGGGAGAAGATGGCAGAGATAATAAAAAAGAATCATACTAACTTGTAGTGAATGAAATGAGTATTACCTCGGCTCTGCTGGAGCAAGAGTTGGATGTTCTGCTCATGCTCTTTCTGCTGCAGGGTCAGCTGGCGGTCCATCTCTAGTCGCTGTCGTTCCACCGCTACCTCCAGCCAGTACACCAATCTCTGCTGTTCCTCTAATTGCATTTCAAGTTCTGAGAAGGCGATTTGCTGCTGGTGCTGTTCTTCCCGAAGTGTTACCACCTGTCCCAAATCCCAGGCGTTGCCTTACCTGCTGATCAAGCTCTCGCACTCTTTTGAGGCTTACAGCTTTGTCCCTGGAGACCCAGAATCTAAATGAGATCTTCTAGACAGGGACGATCTCAAATTGATCCGAAAATCAGAAAAAAGGGATAGCAGTGAAGACATGGCACTCGGCTTCCGCCTGTGGACAACACTGGGTTTAGGTGAAAAGGGGTTTCATGGAAAAGGAAGGGTTAAGGAGTCCCTGGGGATTGTAGTTCGTCCTAAGTTCAGACCCACCAAGTAAGGAAATTAGCTATTCTTTGATGCCTCTTTCTGATGTCCTGTGGAACGGAAGGTTAGATGAGAAATGGCAGAGTTTGAGGTAATTGCGTACCTTGTCAAAATACTTGCATAGCAAAGCCCGGGTCTCTGAGGAAGAAAGGTAGCTGAGTTTGGCCATGAGGTTCATCTCACATTGAGACAACATGGTGGCTGAGGCTCGTAGCACCCGCTGACGACATGTAATAGCTTCATTCTTATATTCAATGGCTGCATCTAGAGCTTCAATAGCCTCATCCAGCTGGAATAGAGTTCTTTCTTCCTGTGGGGGCACAGACATCGATTCTTGTGGAAATAATATATATTAAGCTTATGCCAGGTGCCAGGTACTGAATGGACCACACACACACGTACAATACAGGACCTATTTGGGGGTGGGCAATAGTAAATGTTCGATAATTTTTAAAAAATCAAAATACAGTCCCTGACCTCTAGTTTATATGCTACAGACTCAAGAAAGAGCTGGGGACCCAACAATGCCTATATGCCTGTCCCTACAGGATCAGTGCATAAACAGAGATGAATCCTATTTCCATCAAACTGAATATGTCAGTCATAACCCCAGTCCAATGGCGAGAACCCCAAGTATTGTTTGAGAGGTTTCTTGGGGTATACTATTGGAACCACTGCTATCAATAATCCAAAACAACAAGTACAAAAGAGTTCAGATCACTTAGAAATGTATTATGTTCTTATTTGTGACTGATTTGCTAGTCTGGCTTTGTTTAAGATGATTTACTACAATCAGTTGATCTTCCCTGAGTAAACAATGACAGAGTTTCAAGGAAAGATACCTTGTCAACAGGAAAAACCAGGTGTGGTTCTTTAAACATACTATCAATGACTCTTTATTTAACCCATGTACAAAATTGAATTGGAATTTGTAGCATCATTTAATTCCAGAGCTGGAATGTATCACATAGTCCAACCCTCTCAGTTTTTACAGATGACAAAACAGACTCAGGTAAACCAGCAAGGACTAGAACCCAAGTCTCCAGTGCTCTTTCCACTCCATATTCCTAGACTGCTCTTAAATATCCTATTCCCTCTGACCACAAAGAAGGTAGATGAGATCATGCACAAAATGTACCATGAGCTCCTCTTAGAAGTGAGCGGAATGGGAAGGAGTGGGTTTTCCTCTGAAGCACTCCAGACAAGTGGTCATCCAGGCTCCACTCAAAGATTTCCAGAAATAAAAGTTTGATGGAATTTCTAATTTCGTTTTGCTTCCAGATAGAAGCGGAAGGTGCAGAAAGGGATATCATTGGTTAGGATATCCTGGCGGGATATCGTTTAGGAACTTCAATGGATGGGGTACCTCGTTCTATTAATTTATTTTTCATTTTCAACATTCACTTCCACAAGATTTTGAGTTCCAAATTTTCTCCCCATATCGCCCCTCTCCCCACCCCAAGATGGCGTGCATTTTGAATACTCTCCCCTAATCTGCCTTCCCTTCTATCTCCCCCCCTTCTCTTATCCCCTGCCCCTTCTATTTTCCTGTAGGGCAGGATAGATTTCTATCCCCCATTGCCTATATATCTTATTTCCTAATTGCATGTGAAAACAATTTTTAACATTTGTTTTTAAAACTTTGGGTCCCAAATTTTCTCCCTTCCTCCCTCCCCACCCCACCCTCATTGAGAAGGCAAGCAACTCAATGCAGGTTATACCTGTGTAGTCATGCAAAACACTTCTATAGTAGTCATGTTGTGGAAAACTATATTTCCCTTCATCCTATCCCACCCCCCCATTTATTCTATTCCCTCTTTTGACCCTGTCCCTCCTCAGAAGTGTTTGCTTCTGATTATGGGGTACCTCATTCTAAAAGAGATTCATAGGCTTGGGAGAGGCTCACATGTAAGTAGAACAATACCTCTGGGGATAGCAGGTTGCCCTGCCTCAGTTTACTATCAATCTCTAGTCGCTGTTTGAGCAGCAGGTCCTTTTCTTGTCGCAGGTTATCAATCTCTACACGTATCTGTTGCTGGCTGTGGGCACTGCCCTGCCGGAGCTGCCCACTTTTCTCAGACAGTTCCTTTTCCAAATGTTCTAATCGACTTGATACTCGCACAATGTCCTCATTGAGTGCCTGCAAAGAGAGAATAGTAATAAATACATAAGTCCTTACTGGACGGGGCACCACCCCCATTCCTAGGAAGCTAGTAATTTAGTTTAGACGTACAGGACACGCATGCAATGGCAGCAAACAATAAAAGGCAATAGGTGGTGTGCTTCAGACTAAGTTCAGAAAGGGGGAAGCTTAATGAGAGCTAGAGGAATTAGGACAGACTTTATGGAGAAAGGAGAATTGAAGCTGGGCCTTGCAGGATGATTAGCATATAAGCAAGGGAAGGAGATAACAGGGGAATATGAACATAGGCACAAAAGTAGAAATGAGCCTTGTGTGTTCATGGGACATGAAGAAAAAGAAGTTTAATTAAACTAGACAGTGTACACTGTGGAGTAAGAAAAAATGGCTTGGCCAGGTAAGGGAAGGCCAGACTGTGGAAAGTCTTATATAAAAGGCAGACAATAGAATTTGTTGGCATAAGGGATCTACTGAAGTTTTTACTAGGGGAGCAATGTGAAGAGTAATTTAGTAAAGACCTTATCCCTCTATCAGTCTTAAGAAATAGTTTAATAGAGCAAGGCCAAGATGGTGGAGTGGTAAAAACCAATGTGATGAGCTCCCCTCCACAGACTTCTCCAAAAGGATCTAGAAAATATGCAAGACAGAATTCCTATGAAGAAATCCTAAAAAAAAAGTCACCATGAGTCAGTCCTTTGGTACAGGGATAGAGAGATAAGACGGAGGTCTGCAGACACTGAGGACTGGGTTAGGAACAAACAGTGCCCAGAGCACTATGTCTAGGGCCCAGGAAAAGCCGAGCACCAGGGCAAGAGGAGGTCCCAGCCACACACGAGGAACCCTCAGACCCATACTGAAGCACGGCAAAGGGAGCAGATGCCAGCTGGTAACTCTGTCACCCATCACCCAGGTCCAGGTCACAAATCCAGTATATCACATAGCAAAAATAACTGACCTGAAAAACAGATCGGGAGGAGGGGGGGAATTAAGAATCATTATACTATGTGAACTCTACAACCAAAAAAATGAGGCTAGATATCATATTTCAAGAAATCTTTTTCTTCTTGTGAACTCATCCAACCACTCTGGAGAACAATTTGGAACTATGCCCAAAGCGCTATAAAAATGTGCATCCCCTTACACCCAGCAATACCACTTCCAGGTCTGTATCCCAAAGAGATCACAAAAATGGGAAAAGAACCCACGTGTACAAAAATATTTATATCAGCTCTTTTAGTGGTGGCAAAGAAATGTAAATTGAGGGGATGCCCATCAAAAGGGGAATGGCTGAATAAGTTGTGGTATACAAATGTAATGGAATACTGTTGTGCTATGAGAAATGATGATCAGGTGGACTTCAGAAAAACCTGGAAAGACTTATATGAACTGATGCTGAGTCAAGTGAGCAGAACCAGGAGAACACTGTACACAAAAACAGCCACGTTGTGTGGCTAACATTGATAGTTATCACTTCTTAGCAATGCAAGGATCTAAGATTCATGATGGAAAATGTTGTCCGCATCCAGAAAAAGAACTATGGAGTCTAAATGCAGATCACAGCATATTATTTGCTTTCTCTCTCTCTCTCTCTTTTTTTTTCAGTTTCTTCTTTCTCATGGTTTCTCCCATTGGTTCTAATTCTTCTTTACAACATGACTAATGTGAAAATAGGTTTAATATGAATGTATATCTCGAGCCTACATCAATTTACATGTTGTGTTGGGGTGGGGGGAGGGGAGAGATGGGGAGAAAATTTGGAACTCAAAATCTTATGGAAGTGATTGTTGAAAACTAAAAATAAATTTATTAATTTAAAAAAAACACTACATTTTACTTTACCAAGTCAAATTGTCTCTTGAAATAAAAAAAGTATTTAAAAAAAACCAAAAAGAAATATTTTTCTTTTAGAAAACTGCCCCAGATCTCTTAGAACCAGAGGACAAAGCAGAAATAGAAAGAATCCACCAATCACCACCAGAAAGAAACTCCAAAATGAAAACTCCCAGCAACATCATAGCCAAAATCCAGAGCATCCAGTCTAAGAAAAAAATACCGCTAGCAGCCAGAAAGAAATAATTCAAGTACTGAGAAGCCAGTTGGGATCACACACAATTTAACAGCCACCGCTATAAAGAAACAGAAAACTTGGAATATGATATTCCAGAAGGGAAAGGATATGGATTTATAGCCCAAGAATAACTTAGCTAATAAAAGTGATTATAACGCTACAGGGGAGAAAATGGACCTTTAATGAAATAGAGGATATCCAAAGCATTCCTGATGAAAAGACCAGAGCTGCAGAGAAACTTTGAAGTTCAAACACAGAAGCAAAGAGCAACACAAAAAAAGTAAACATGAATGAACAATGATAAAGAACTAAATAAGGATAAATTGCTTACACCCAAATATGGGGAGATGATACATGTGCCCCCTCTGCACCCCATCATCATCAGGGTTCACAGAGGGTGGTCAATTAGATAAGACCTGGCAATGGTTCTGTTATGTCTTGATGTTCTTAAGAAAAGAATGGAAGGAGAGGAGAAGAGGAATACACAGGGAGGAAACGGAAAGGAAAATTAGGGAAAATTATTTCACATAATCAAGGTACACAAGTAGACATATAGACGAACTGCTAACACTCATACATCTCTCATCTAAACTTGTCAAAAGAAGGCAGAATACACACAAGCACACACATAAAGAGTTGAATACAGAAGTACATTTTACTCAACAGGGAAATGGGAAAAGAGGAGAAATGGGGAGGGGGAATTAGAAGAAGGGTAGACAGAGAGGAATTAGTCTTAAGCAAAACCAATTCTAAGGATGTACAAAAATATTTATAGCTCTTTTTGAGGTGGCAAAGAATGGGAATCTGAGGAGGTGTCCATAAAGTGGGGAATGGATAAACAGGTTATGGTATCTAAACGTGATGGAATACTATTGTGCTGAACTCTTATCACTACAATGACCAACTTAGATTACAGAGGACTAATGATGAAACTTGCTACTCACTTCCTGACAGAGAGGTAAAGGACTCAGAATGCAGAATAAGATAAACACATTTTTGGCCATGGCCAATTTGGTCATGACTATACATGTTCGTACTGGGTTTTGTTTTTCTTGTGTTCTCAATTGGGGAAGGGGGAGGAATGGAGTGGGAAGGCAAGAAGGTGGATCCTGGTTGATCAGCACAAATAAAAAAAATTTTAAACAGCTCAATAATAGATTTTCCTTCTAAACTGAGATTGATTACCTATATTTATATAGCCATCAATGGTTGCAAAGCACTTTACATTCATTATCTCATTTGATTTTCACAACAGCTCTGTGATGACTACATCATCTACAAGTTACAAGTTTAAACTACAAGGTTATCCCTATCTACAGAGAAATTGAGACACAAAGCAGTAGAGTTGGGATCTGAATTCCGATCTTCTAACTCCAAATCCAGCACTTCTATACCACAGCTGCTTGTAAGTACCTATTGTCTATATATTTTAACACTTGATCACATGCTGCCTGATTTTTGTATTTGATTGTCTGTTGAGCATTTCTTCAACAACACTATAAATCTCCTGTGGAAAGAGGTCCCATTTTCTACTTATCCTATGGAACTCAGGTCAACGGACACAACAGGTATCAAATAAATATTTTAATTGAATTCAAGGATGAGAACTTAGGTCCCTTTAAAAATCTAGTCCTTGAGCATCTTCCTGATGATTATTATGGAGGAATCTCCAATTAGCAAGCCTTCTCTAACTTCTTTTCCTCCTGGAAGAGAATGGCTCCTGCCTTCTTCCTGGTCCTCATGTCTCTGACTCGATGCTCACCTGACTCGAGCGAAGTCTCTTGCTCTCCAGCCCAGTTTTCTCCAGCATCAGAGCTTCCTTCTTAGCCAGAATAGTCTCCCGTTTGCACAGTTCTTCCCCCAGCTCTTCCAGAGCCCTCCGCTGCTGCAGGACCTTCTCCATTTCCAGGTCCAGCCATTTCTTTTGTTCCTCAATCTTCTAAGGGAAGAGATATTAGACCATAACAATCCACACTTCTTTCTCAATCCAACTAGCCTTCAGTTCCCATTCACCTCCTTGGATCACAAAGAATTCTGAAATGCAATCCAAAGGCCCCTGAGTCCCAGAACATGACTCTCTCAGTATAAGGGTCAGTCAAGGCCCACCTAGCAACCTCTTAACCACAGGTACCTGCTGCTGCTCCAGACTGACCACGGAGCCATTGCTGCCACTCCTCCTCTTCCTCTGGAAGGCTGCAATCTCTTCTGTCTTGATCTTCAAGATCTTCTGCTGTTGTTCATGCTTGAGCTCCAGCTCCTAAAGGAAGGATCAGAGCCAGGAAGTCAAGACCAAGGGACTGGAACACATCCAGAGAACAGTAGCCTTTCTTCTAGGATTTCCCAGTGATGGCACCCCAGCATCCTGGGGAGTGTTTCACCCTGGTCCAGGTATGTCATATGTGAAACAATCCCCACCACTTGTCTCTTCTCGACTGCTTTAACTCTTCCCATTTTGCCCACCCTGGCTCCTGCTGCCTTACTTTACTTCCCAGAAATACATCCCTGGAGGCTTTTGTCTTGAGTTCTTCACTTTCTAAGTCTCAGTGGACCATCCCCAACCTCATTACCCCAGCCTTGTCACTAGCTTCTGCCTTCCAGGTTCGTGGCATGAAACCCCCAAGACCCTGACCTTGACCCGGTGCTGCCTCTTCTGCATCTCTGTCTCCAGACGCCTCTTCTGCTCCGTCTCCTCCCGAAGCCGCCTCTGCAGCTGCCCTTGTTGCTGACGCATGAGTTGCACGTTCCTCTCCAGTTCCCGTACTCGCTTCTCACTCTGTGCTGACAGTGACACTAGACGCTCCGTGGCCTGCTTTTTCTCCTTCAGGACCTATGCCGATAGATAGATTAGTCAGTAGCCCCAGAACTCTGGCTAGCCACCTTCCTAGCACAGTGGGCCTAGCAGGTCCATGGAGATGTCACATTCATGGAGAAGCAGCAGAGTGTAATGGAAATAGCATGAATGTGGAATCAGAGGACTAGCCTACTGAATCTTGGTTCTGCTAGGGCAGCTAGCGGGGAGGGCAGCTAAGTGGCACAATGGATAGAGTACCAGGACAGGAGTCAGGAAGACATGAATTCAAATCTGGCCTCAGACACTTACTAGGTATGTGACCCTGGGCAAGTCACTGAACCCTGTTTGCCTCAATTTCCTTATCTATAAAATGAGCTAGAGAAGAAAATGGCAAACCACTCCAGTATCTTTGCCAAGAAAACCCCGTATGAGGTCATGAAGAGTCAGACATGACTGAATGACTAAACAGCAAAAACAATTATATATCATATATACACATACACATATAAAATGTATTTAAATATAATATATAAAATTTACATGGATGTATATATATATACATATATATGTGTATATATACATATACACACACTCTATAAAACATAGATAACAATACTTAAGCTACCTAGCTCACACTCCACTAAAATCCTACTCTGATGCCTCATTGTCATATAAAGATAATTAAGGCCATACCTCTGAAGTGCAAGCTCCGACAGATCCTACCAAGTTCAGGCCTGGTGAAAGACTTTATGCCTGTTGCCTGAGAACCAATCTAAGTAATAATAACCCACATCTACACTTAAATGCACATTTTCTGATTTTGTCAGTTTAAGGCATTCCCAGTGGGAGAACTCCCTCCACCAAAGCTGACCACATGCCATCTATAATACATAGATAAACTCGAGAGAATTGCCGGAGGCACATGGGATCTAGGTGATTTGGCCACATTATGACCATATTCAGTTACCCCTTCCACACAGTGGAAGGTTAGGGGGACGGCACCCCTACGATATGGAAAATCTGTGTAAAAATTTTTGGCCCTCCCTTTCCACCAGAGAAGTCTGAATTATTACAGTATTAAAAAATAAAATATATTATACAATACTATACATATATTTCACACATTTCTGAGTTTCTAAACTTTTTCTGTGTCATCTACTGGCCTTCATGTTTTATCTGTGGCTGATGCTAAACTCCCAAAAAAAATTCCCATTTAATTTTTCATGCATACCCATGATACATTAAAACCACAGTGGGGAAAGTCATAATGTGGATGGGGTAACTGTGGCTAAAAAGTGTTATAGGCAAGAAAGGCTCAACAGTAGAAGGCTGGCCACTTAGTGACTTTTTTGGGTCACTGTAACTCATAAAATAGACAAATAAAGACTCCTAATCTCACAGGACTGTTTTAAGCAAAGTGCTTCTTAAACTTTATAGTTTAGTGCTTTATTTTTAGTTGGTTTTCAGTCTTGTCCAACTCTTTGTGACCCCATTTGGGGTTTTCTTGGCAAACATACTGAAGTGATTTGCTATTTCCTTCTCCAGCTCATTTGACAGATGAGGAAACTGAGGGCAAATATGACTTGGTCATACAGCTAGTAAGTGTCTGAGGTTGGATCTGAACTCAGGTCTTCCTGACTATAGACCCAGTGCTCTATCCACTGCACTACCTATTTTCCCCTTAGAACTTTATAGCACTATACAAATCTAAGCCCCCTATTACACCACCCACCCCAGAAAGTTGTCCTCTGGCCATTCCACCCTTCTCTGGATAGCAAAGGCCCTCAGATGCTATATATAGTTTGTTTCCCCTATCATCTAGGTCTCTCCCTCCTCCTTCCTTATAGATTATCTATAAGGCAGAAACCATTTCTCAACTTCTCTGTTGGTGGCTTAAAATACTGCTAGACTTAGTGCTTAAAGAATACATTATATCCTCACAACAATAATGATAAAAATAATAATTCACAGGTATTTTCAAGTTTACAAAGTGCTATCCTCATAACCAACCCTGTTTATACAGTTGCATCTTCTTACAGAATTTTTAGTCTCCTATAGACCTGGGAGACCAGGAGAGGTTCAGTATTAAGTGGGTGGAAAAGCTAAGGCAAGAAGGAGTAGTAACTTCCCAAAGTAACATGGTGAAACATATGATCAGAGACCAGGTTTCCAGACTCCAAATAATTTCTTATCTGGGAACAAAAATGTAGTCGGCAAAGAGTCTTACTGTTGCTTCAGAGGACTTACCAATATCCCTCAGGACACCAACCTGTACTTGGCTTTGGGCAGCAGCAACCCTCTTGCGGAATTCCTGCAGCCGGGATCTCTCCCCAGGGTCCTGGGGTTCCTTTCCCTCCAGCTCCCGAAGCTGCCTTTGGCCCTCATTCAGCTCTGCTCGCACCTGGTCAGCTTCTCTTTCCAGCTCCCCAATTCTCTGGCAATGCTGCCGATTCATGGCCTGGGCTGCCTTCCCTAGAAGCCCACAGTTTGGACAGATGAGATGGCCTGGGGTGGGAGGACCCAGGTATGACCATCTCTATCACCCATCACCTCACTGTCTTGTCTAGGGGTGTGGATGTTTCTCCCCAATCCCCACACGTAACTCCTCGGGTGAGTAAGTCTACAGAAAGGTTCTCTCTTGGGACAAAAGACTGAATCTCTCTGTGGAATCACTGAGAAAGGAAATGAGGACCAAACATGTCAAGAAATTATATTTTTGGGGGGTCTACCTGGGCTGCCCTGTACTCAGGAACAATGAAAGAATCTCAAGCCACTCTATCACCTGTTCGGATTAGCTCTCCGATCAGTTCTTCCTTCATACGAATGTTAATGGCCAGCTCCCGGATCTTCTGCTGGGCCTGTGCCAGACGCCACTCTGAGGCCTTGACAGAGGGGCCTTGTCCACAATCCGCTGGTTCCTTTCTCCTGCCAGCTGCTGTAACAACCCAGGATGACAGACACTCAGAGTTACCTCCAGGGTCGCTGAGGCAAGCAGGGGAGAGGGTGAAAGGGACAGCCACTCATGAGTTTCACAGTACAAATTCAGAGGTTGTGTGAGGAAGACATGAAAAGACTAAGGGAGGGAGAAGGATAGATTTGTGGCAGTTTCTGTTCCCCACAACCACTCATACCTTTTCCACAACGATTCAATGACTTTAGGGCAGAAGGTGAGAATGTTTCCTGGGATCTGAAAAAGGCTCTCTCAGCCACCTTGCTTTCCTTCCAGGGGTCTGACCCTTCATCTAGGTAAGGGGTTCTTAAACCTGTGTTTCATCATTTCAGAGGGTACTTAAACTTGGATGAAACAAAAATTATATCTTTATTTCAAAATAATTTATTTCCTTTGAAATCCTATGTATCTGAGTTTATACATTAAAAGCATTCTTCTGAGGAGGGGTCCACAACCTTGCCCAGATTCCCAAAGGGATCTATGACACAAAAAAGGTTAAGGAACCCTAAGGGGGAGGAGTATAGTGTATGGAGCCCTGAAATTGGAGTTAGGAAGACCTGAGTTTGAATCCTACTTGAGACACTAACTGTGTGACTCTGGGCAAGTCAGTTAACCAACTTGGGCCTCAGTTTCTTCATCTGTAAAATGAGGAAGATGACAGATTCAAACTTGTGATCCTGTAATCTAGGGGGAAGGGTGTCACTCCCCAAGGAACACCCCCCCCCATTTTACAGCAAGAGAAAAAGAGGCCCAGGGAGCAGAAGTGATATGTCCTTTATTTCCTAGTGAAAGTCCCAACCTTGGAAATTAAACATCACGTTCCAGGAAAAGACTGAGGGTGTATGTATTTGGCAGGAATGGGGGGGGGTGAAAGGGAGTAAGGGAATAGGAGGCAGGGAGAAAGGTGGCTTACTGCTCAAAAGAATCAATTTGAGAAACTGAAGTTCAGTACAGAAAGTCTTATCCAGAGCCCCCACAGCAAAACAGAGTTAGAGGACCTCTGCCTAAGATGCTCCTGGTGAGATGAGATGAAGGGAATGGGGTTAGGGCTAGTATTGCCAATTGCAATGCTGATACCTCCACCCACCTCTGGCCATGTGGGCAGCAGTGTCTAGCTCCTCTAGGTGAAGTTCCAAGCCTTTATTCTCTCCATGAGGTTCTCCATGCCACTGGACAGCAGCTTCCTTCTTGCTCCAACTTCCAATGCCATTTCTAGAGGGCAGGACCCAGAAAAGTATCCACCCTTTCTACCCACAACTGTGGCCATTCAAGGGAATAACATGGGTTAGAGTTGAAGCCTCTGAAGGTACTGGGACCTCTATCAGAGGGTCAAAGATCAGCTTTTCTGTGGAAGCAAAGAACTGGGAACTGAGGGAGTACCCATCAACTAAGTAATTATAGTATATGAATGTGATGGAATGCTATAACAAGCAATGAAGGAGACAGTTTCAGAGAAGCCTTAGAAGACATAAACTGATGCAGAGTGAAGTGAATAGAACCTGGGGAACAATGTATCCAATGTCAGTAACTGTAAAAACAAACAGCTTTGAAAGACTTAAGAATTCTTATCAATGTCATGCTCAACCATGATTCCAGAGGACCAACAATGAAGGATGCTTCCCACCTCCTGACAAGAGAGGAGATAGACCTAATATGCATAATAAGACACATTTTTTGGACATGGTCAATACAGGAATGTGTTTTGCTTGACCAATGTCTATTTGTTATAAGGGCTTTGTTTTGGTTTTTCTTTTTCTTTTTTTGCATGGGATGGGGGATGGAGAGGGAGAGGGAGAAAAAAATGCTGGTTAATTTTTAAAAATTTAATTGAAAAAAAAGATTCATAGGGCAGGAAGGCCCTTTTGACCTCTTGCTACCTGGGGGAGTTTCTAGCTTCCTACAAAAATGGTTAACCTTCAGCAGAGATTGGTTATGGCTTACCTTCGAAGATGCAAAGACCTTTTGGGTTCTTCTTCTTCTTCTTCCTCTGAGGGTGAAGAGGAATGACCTCCAGGCCTTGCTGCTTCCACTCCTTTATCCCTGTCTTCTTTTCTGTTAATCAGCTGTTCCAGGGAGAAGTAAGGTATAAAGGCTGTCCCTAAGGTTCTCTGAATGTCCCATCCCCATTTCTTAGTCCAATAAGCCTTCAGTGAAAAGATACTCTTATGGGCTTTCTTGGACTCCAGCACTCAACTCCTAAGAAGTAAGTTTCAAGGTTGGGTATACTGAACAGACCCAGTTTCTCCATTACTGGAGAAAAAACCTTCCCACAGAGGTAAGGGAAAGTGGGAGATGCCAAATGCTGGCTTACTGTGTGGTACTCAGCCCCACGTTAGTCCAATCCCACCCCTTTATCTGGGGTTACTCCACAAAAGAATCATCAGCATTTCGTAGCCGGGAAAAGAGACCCAGAGAGAGCAGACATGTGTGGTAGGATCAGGTGTCAGAGGGCAATGTCCACTGCCATCTGCCCTAATGGCGCTGGACAAGGACAAAATCCATGAGGATTTAAAGAAGGAACTCATTGTCTTCTTTTGCCATATGATAGTTTTCTTCAGTTCTCTTGCTTTGAGAGTCAAAGAAACACCTGGTCCCACCCTGTGATGTGAAGCTACCCTGAGTACCAGGGCAGAAAGCTCTTGGGGAAAAAAAAAGATAGCTCTTTTCACTCATCCCTATCCCTTACCTCTCCCTTTTGGGCTCTCCCATTTTCAAGACATAAGGGGGTTGGAGATATGCCAAGAGCATGAGATCGAGCTGCCTCCAGAGGGGCTGTATGGGGCCGAAGGGTGTGGTCCCCCAAAGAAAGGCCCTGCAATAATTCTGTGGGTCCCCAGCCAGGTCTGGTCATTTCTAGCCGCAGCTGAAGCTGCACAATCTCATCTTGCTGTTCTTGGAGCCGGTCACTCTACAATGCATTAGAAATAATAACAGTAACAATAACAATCATACCTAACATTTATATAGTTATATTTATATAAATGTAAATTTACAAAGCAAACCCCACAAAACCTATGAAGTCAGAAATACAAGTATGATTATCCCCATTTTAAAGATGAAGAAATAGGCTCATTGAGGATAAGGGACTTGCCTAGGGTCACACAGCGAGTAAGCACCAAAACCAGTATTTGAATACAGTTCTCTCCTGACTCCAAATCCAGTGTTCTTTACAAACTATAAGCTAACAGAAAGCAACTTACCAAGACTCTGTAAAACCCAGTGTCATGATAGCCATGGTGGGTATTCAATGTGCAATAATCCTAATGACCTTATATCTTTATCCATATGTGTGTACAAAGTTTGTGGGGGAATAGCTTTTCTGACGTATGACTTTCAGTATCCAGAATCTAGGCTAACTGCCCAAGAACAGGAGGGAGCCATAGAAATGAGTGCAAAAAGTTCCAATAAGACAAAATGAGCTTTAGATATGACCAGGGATCCAGTACCTGAAGAACTGGGAGACGCAGACATTCTTTTTGCATTGAATTATCCAGTCAATAAATATTTATGAAGTACCTACTATGTGCCAAGCACTGGGCCAAGCGGTATAAATCTGCAAGGAGACCTACCTGCAGCTTGTATTGTTCCATGGCATCTTCCAAGGCAGCCAGAAAATCTTTGTTCTCCTCCTCCAGGCGGGCTACTTGGCTCTGCAGGCTCAGCAGCTGTTGTTCCCCACCTCCTTCGTGTCCCTTGAAGAAAAACTTAAATAGTGTCATGGAAGGGGGGTCGTTGCATGCATCTCTTTCTCTAGTGCATTTCCAAAAGGAGAGCAATTCCTGGAGATTCCTTTGCCCTCTACACTCTTTATCTACACATGATCCATCTTTCCTCATTTTCCCTGTCCTCTCTGCTCTTAAAGCCCACATTCCTCTCTATTAATTCTTTCTTTCTTTCTTTCTTTCTTTCTCTCTCTCTCTCTCTCTCTCTCCCCCCCCCTTTTGTCTCTGTCTCTCCTCTTTGTCTCTGTCTCTCTCCCCTCTCTGTCTGTCTATATCTCTGCCCCTCTCTTTCTCTTTCTAGGTCACATTCTTTGTCTCTTCCTAACCCATAAAAGGAAGTTTTTAGATTTGGTGCCATCTCTAACACCGTTTTCACTTTTTAGGTACTTCAACTCAATTTCAGTTAACTCTTCCCAGATGGTTACCTTTTCCTCACACAGTACAGATGAAGGATCATAGAATTTAGAATGTGAAGGGACCTTAGAAATCTTCTAGTCTTAGAAGTTCTTAAATATTTTGTGTGTCATGGACCCCTCTGGCACACTAGTGAAGGCTGTGGACTCCTCAGAATGAAGTTTTTTAAATACATAAAAACCAATTATACTAAAATATAGTTATCAAAATATTTTTGGAAAAACAAGTTCACAGACTCCAGTTTAAGAACACCTGATGTACTCCAACTCTTTCATTTTACAGATAAGGAAACTGAGGCCAAGAGAACTGAAATGACTTGCCCAAAGTCACAAAGGCAATAAATGACAGGGCTAGGATTCAAACCCAAGTCCACTGACTCCAAATCCAGTTCTTTCCATAATACCATGGTGCCTCCCTTTAGTCCTGAAAAAGGGATCCACAGTCATTGACCAAGGGGCCAAGAACCCTATTTCCCATGTGTTTCCTATCCTACCGCCATACCTGAGCCTTGGATGGTTTTGCCCCAAGTACCCGGGGGCACTGGTCATTGGCTGAGGCACTCTCAATGCCACTGTCAGGTCCTGAGGCAGAGCTTAGGGCACTGCGTTCACCCTCCACAGTACAAAGCCATTCCCGAACTCTCTGGGTCATCTCTTCAGGCAACCCTGCTTCTCCTCGCAGCTCCAGCAAGAGGTGGTAGGCTGCATCGGTGCAAGCCCGGTAGCGGGCACACTCTGCCACAAGGCGAGCAGACAGTTCTGGAGCACGATGCTGGCGGTGTACAGGTTCAGGCCTGTGGATGATGCGAGTTTCTGAGCGGTGCCGCTGCTCTAGGGCCCGCTGGAGACTTCGGATCTGCAGCTGCAGCTCTTCTACATGTTCTGGTTCCCGTCGACAGTTGACCCTGGCACAATTGCGGATGTTCTGGGCCCGGCTGGCATAGTTCAGGGTATTGAGGGTCTCATCGAAATCTGAAGAAGAAGGGCTGATACAGGCAATCATCACTGTCTTGGCATTTCCGCCCAAAGAGTCTTTCAAGATCCTGTGGAGAACCAGACAGAGGAGGTGTTGGGGCTGCCATTATAATGCACCATATTGGTCCCCAGTGGTCCTCTTCCAAAGCATGTTGATACCTTCTTGGCAACTTATAGTCCTAAGAATTTCCAAGACCACGGAGAGAATAAATGACTTGCCCAGGGTCACACAGCCAGTCGATTGTGTCAGAAGCAGGACTTAAACCCAAATCTTCCTGGCTAGCTCTTTATCTATTATATCCCAATGCTTCCCATTACCTATTGCTAATACTGCTTCTGGAAGTGGAATCTGATTCCTGGCTCTCACACATATGCCCCCAGAGAACAGAAGAGAACCCAGGCTGCCCTCCCATGCCAAACAGAGAGTGTCCTAAGGGGCCACATCACCTAGACACATCAGACATGGCAACAGGCTCACACATACCTGGTGATTTTGGAGTCCCGATAAGGGATATGGCTGCCCTTGCGGTGAGGGTCACCCAGGGCACTGATGACATTGCCCAGTGCCAGCAGGCTGCTATTGATCTGAATACTCTCCTTTAGCCTCTCGCCAGTGTTGCCTGTTTTCAGTACCCTCTCAGAACCTGCTAGGTCCACAAAGTGGAATTTGGAGGAGAGAAGTTGGCCAGAGATGGGACCCATGGAGGGAAGGCGAGGCAGGCGGCCAGCACCTCGGCGCTGCTCCATGGTCACCGTGAAGATGGTGTGGGAACGGCTGGACAGCCGGTTGATGTGAGTGGCCCCCGTATGCCGAGCTGCATTGCCCACCTCCAACAGGCTCAGCACCTCATCCAGACCCTCCACTTCTACCTCCTTGACACCACACAGTACTGAAAAGAGAACATATTAACAACTCAGGGCTCTAGTAGGAGTCAAATAAAGAGAGGATCATAGAATGGTGGTCCTAGAAAGGATCTTAGAGATCATCTAGTCCACTTCCCCCACGACATTCAGAGAGGTAAGTGACTTGTTCCTGAGAAGGCACTGGTGTTCCTTCCATGACATTGCCACTCTCTTCTGTTTACCTCCCCATAGCACAGTGCCACCTGATACTACAAAAAGCCCAAAGGTGGATAGAGCAGGTCTTCAAGGAACATAGAGACATTGTTTTATGGAGCAGAAAAACTAGGGAAGGCTTGACCAATCATAACAGAGCCTTTGCAGGGTCCTTAGGAAGATCACTCAAGGAGAATCACAGAGGGCCTCTTACCAACATTTCCTTTGTCATCCTCTCGTAGCTGGATGTCTCTGCTGGCTGTTCCCACCTCCAGCAGGTCTCGGAACTCCTCCTTGTACACCTCCAGGTAGGACACACGCACAGTGTAGTCCAGTAGGTCATTCTCGTCAATGAGCTTGAAGGCTTCTGCCATGGCCCGAGGTATGATGCCCTGTTCATCCTCATGGAGGGAAGCTGGAGGAGAGCACAAGGGACTCAGGGGATTTAAGAGGGAAGGATCTCAGGACATAACCAGACACCTCACATCATGATGGAATGAGACACACGTGAAAAGTCTGGAGGGTCTCTACTTTAGGACATCCAGACAGGCACTCCCTTTACCCACAATGGAAATTTCTCCAAAGAGCCCTGACATGGCTGAGTCCCACAATATTCATATGTATATGCCTCCAGCACACACAAAAAGGGTATAAAGCAAGAAATCAGTTAAAAAAGGGATAGATATGACTGCACTTAGGGCTACAAACAGTAGTAACCTAGGGTTGGAACAGGAACTGAAAGTAGGCTGAGGGTGTGGGGTAGGAGTGGGACCATAAGACTACTTTATAACAAATTTTTATTGATATATTTTGTTTTTACAACATCTAGATTTCGCCCTCTAACCCTTTCCCTATCCTCTTCCTGTGTGTCACCTTTTATTTAAAGAAAAAAAAAGAATTTTTTAAAAAGGAAAGAAAAAAGAAATGAGGAAGAGAAAAAATTCTGTAAAACCAGTCAAAGAAATCTGATATTATAGGCAATAGAACCAGAAAATATTAATAGCTAGGAGATACCTTAGAGATCATCTTATCCAACCTCCCCTTCCATGTAGGAATCCCTTCAACAGCCCTGACAGAAATGTATACAGTCTGTTTGAATACTTCTAGTAATAAGAAACTCACTACCTCCTGAGTCAGTTTATTCTGTCTTTAGCTTTAGTTGTTAACTGTTTGCATTCCTCAATACGGTCAGCTCTATCCAATTTTAACTGGCTTCTGGCTTTCTATCCTTTTCCTGTGTGCTAGAAGCATACGAATATTTGGGGGCTTTGAACAATGCTTTGAACAAAGAAATTTCCATTGTGTGTGTTAAGGGAATTGCTCTCTGGCTATACTCCTTAAATGAGGAGTTCTTCCTCTCTGTAACTTCCATCCATTAGTTCTAATTCTGAAGACAGGGACATCACAGAACATGTCTAAGCTCTCAAATATTTGAAGACATCTGTCATGTCTCTACTTCCTCATCCCCTTTCCTAGTTAAACATCCCTAGCTCCTTATATGACATGGCTTCCATACCTTTCACCACCCTTGTCACATTTTGTATGCCTAGTTTGTCACCATCCTTAAAACATGACACCCAGAATCAAGCACATTTCTCTACAGGTGTTCTGAACAGTGGTAAGGAGCTGGCCATCTGTTCCACCTTCCTGTCATGGGTCCCAACTATAGATAGCTCCTCTCCTCCAGTACAGTGATTGTTGCCTCCCATGATCTGTATGCTAGACTTACTAATGTAGTCTAAGACTGTTAGTGGTATTTGTATTTCCAGCACCAGGCATAGAGTAGGTGCTTAATTAAAGCTTGTTGATTGATAATTATTTTTAGCAACTACATCATGTTTTTGGTTCATACTGAGATTGTGAACAACTAAAACCCTCCAGACTAGCACTAGGAATTGGGTGGGAAGGTGGTGACTTTGAAATGTTATACCCAGATTTTATTTTTTTTTAACCAATATTCAATTAGTCAATCGAAAGCATCCTTAAATGTCCCCTCCTCACTTCTCCACAGAAACTAAGATAGGAGAGTTAAATAAAGTTAGTTAAGTACAAGTATAGGAAGGGAGTGGGGGAGGTAGTACAGCGAATTTGGGAATGTAATGCTTCCAAGTCTCAGGAATAGGTACAAATAGGCCTGCCTCTGAGAAGAACACTCACCAACACTAGCTTCCCCTATGGTGTAAGTCTTCCCTGAACCAGTCTGACCATAGGCAAATACAGTCACATTGAAACCCTCGAAGAAAGCCTCTAGAAGGGGCTGCACACAGGTCTGGTACACCACTTCCTGAGTCGACATCTCTGCAAACACCACATCGAAATCGAAGGACCGGTTTCGGCCCAGGATGACCCGACATTCCTCTGGTTCCACCTGCAGGCAGCTCTGATGTCCATGTAGTAGTTCTTTGGGCAAAAGGGGCCTGACACGAAGAGCCACTCTCACAGGTGTCTCCTCTGCCTTAGGTGGAACTGGGGCTTCCAGTCCCATAGTTAGGACCTTCCACAGCTCACTGTTGGAGAGAAGAGAAAAGAGTAGAGAGCTCCTTACCTTTACCCAACAATGCAGGGAGTACCTGCCCATAGCAGGTTAATAAGTGTGGAATTCATGCAAAAGACAGTTTCTTGGAGTGATTCTTCCTTTGATATGCTATTGGGCAAGTCATTTAACTTCTCTAGAATGAACTTTAATCAACCCCATGACCACGATTCCAGAGGACCAATGATGACAGATGCTTTCTATCTCCTGACAGAAAGGTGATAGACTCAGGATGCAAAATGAGACAGTTCCGGACAAGACCTATGTGAAAAGTTGTTTTGCTTGACCATGCATATTTGTTGCAAGAGTTTTATTGTGTTTTGTTTTGTCTTGCTTTCCTAGGGTGAGAGTAGTGGGAGGGAGGGAAAAAGATATAAAATTTAATCTAAAGCTTCCCTAGGGCTCAGATTAAGATAGCCAGAAACAATGGAAATTGCTTCAAAGAGAACTGGGTGAAGCCCCACAATATTCATATGCCTCCGGGACACATGAAAAGAGTAGAAAGTAAGAAATCAGTTAAAAAGGGATAGAGCTGACTGCACCTAAGAAGCAAACAGTAGCAACTAGGTTATACTACAGTCCTAGCTACGGTGACTACTGCCCTGTCCTAGCTACGTCATAGAAATGTGTACATGATAAAACGTAACTCAGATTTTCACAGCCCTGTGGTACCTCTCCTCCCCCAGGCGTTTAAAGCACTATAGAATGCAAGGTTTTGTTCTTATTCTTACAAAGCTTTGTTTAGGAACGCAATCAATGTGGTAGGCTGAACTCCACAGGTCTGGAACTACTCAAAGCAGGCCAGGGGACCCCACCAAGGGCCAGCAGCTCCGCCCCGCATCGCCACCTCCACCTCCGCCCCTTATCGCCACCCGCACCTCCACCCCCTTTCAGGAAGGGATAATATTGGGGCTTACCCAGAGGACTTCAGACCTCAAGTGCGCCTGCCGCGTGGGCTCGTCTAGATCCGCAGCCCGGCTCCGACTCTCTGGCTGCTTCCTCACCACCGTGCAGTTCTGAAGTTTCCCCAACTTTTACAAACCAGTAGGAGGGTTCTGGGGCCGCTCCGCTCCACCCGTCCAGGCCAGGGCCAGGACCAGCCCAGGACTGCGGGGAGGAAAGAAAAGCTCCCTCGCTGGCCCCGCTAGTCCAGTCCTTCACAGCCAACGTGTCCCCTCCACTCCCAGGGGCAGTTCCGGGCGCCAGGAGGAGGCTCTGCGGGCAGCCCCACCAGGATAGGACGAAGGCGCTAATCAGCGTACCAGCTGCCAGTGCCCCATTAAAGCCTGGACCCGGGACGCTGCAAGAGCTAGCTGCAGAGATGCAGAAGCAGCTACCATCCTCTCCCCATTCCCCTTCAACTTTCTGCTCTGGGCCTCCAGCGCCTACCCCACCTGCTCCCGGACTGGCCCTCAAGCCTTCCTTAGTCCAGCCGGTCAAATTTGGGACCTGGGGTCGCCTCGGCGCAACCTGATGCCGTCATCTCGTTCCCCTCACCCTAAAAAATCCCGCCCCCCTTCCTTCCAACCCTCGGCCCAGCCCACTGGGAGAGAGGGAGGAGAATGCAGGAGGCGGGCGCTGACGGTTCCCAGGGATTCAGGGGCCACATTGGGGAAGCAACGTCGCGTGGAGAGCAGGGACCGAACTGGAGGACAGAGGCAGGGTTTGGGGGACTCTAAAAAAGATGGGAAGATTGGGCAACTGATATAACACTGTGGATGAGGAAACTGAGGCGCCCAAAGTGACTTGCCTAAGGTCATACAGCTAGCAAGTGGCAGAGCCAAGACTTGCACCCAAGTCTTGTGAACATCAATTTTGTGTTTTGTCCACTATCCTAAGCTGCCTCTAAGAAAGATGTAGGGAGAGAATGCGGAAGAGAACTGGAGAGAGCCAAAATGGGAGGGCCTGGCAACTCTAAAGGAGACCAGTCTGGATAGGCACTGAAAAGGCTCCATCACACTTCAGAACACACACACACACACACACACACACACACACACACATGCGCGCGCGCGCGCACACACACACACACACACACACACGCACGCACGCGCGCACACACACCCTCTACCATTCACCCCTAAAACACATATTCCCTTCCTTATCACACTATATTCTTCCGCTAGGTGAGCATTCTACGCTAATGAGGCCTCAGAAATAGTCTGATTTTTATGAGAAGCCTAAAAATGTAAGTAATTGGGGGAAGAGGGTGGGTTCCGTTTGGAATCCAGATATTCCAGAGTAGGGCAATGCCCCCTAGCTACCAGTTGATTACAGCACTGCATTCTTTCCACAACCACTTTCCACAAGTTACTCAGTTGGGAAATTCTTTGATTCGCCCACGATATTCCCATTACATCTCAGAAGCCACACAGTCAGACAACAACAGTGCCCGGGATATTTGTAAAGCCTTTCCCAGGTCTTTGTATCAGTCTGTAGGAAACATAGTGCCACGAAAAAATAGGGGTAAATAAATGTTCGTTGGTGCTGCCCGTGCTAAGAGCAAGCCTGGTGTAGTGAATAAAGGGATGGACTTGGAATCAGGAAAAAGTGGTTCAAATCGTGCCTCATACTCTTACCACTGGTCCTAAGCCAAACACTTCTTTTAGCCCCTATTTCCCCAACTTTTTTTTTTAGGCAACTGGGGTTAAGTGACTTGCCCAGGGTCACACAGCTAGTGTCAACTGTTTTGGTCTGAGGCCAGCTTTGAACTCAGGTACTCCTGACTTCAGGGCCAATGCTCTCTCCACTGCGCCACCTACCTGCCCCCGATTTGTTTTATTCTGTTTTGTTTTTTAACTTGAAAAAAAGGCTTTATTTTAACTAGTGCTATTGTATGACATCCTATACAAAGGTGGAACTGATTACAGCATAAGTTCATGGATACAGATAAAAGAGTAGTCTCTCCCTTGTTCTGTCTCCCAGGGTATCCTCTTCAGAGGACTTGGGAGATGGGAGAGATGATGCTCAGAAACGGCAAAGCTCTCCAGCAAAATCTAGTTAAAGTCCAGACTTCTGGGACATGCATTGTCTCAACACATGTGGTGTACATACACACACACACAAGCTTTTTTTGTGGTGGCAAAAATTAAAAATGGAAGGTAAGGGGATAACCATCAATTGGAGAATTGCTGAATAAATTGTGGTATGTGACTGTAGTGGAATATGATTGTGCTGTAAGAAATGAAGAAACATGATTTCAAAGAGACATGGAAATACATGTATGAATTGAGGCAAAGAGAAGTGAGCAGAACCAGAGGAACAATTTATACTATAACATCAAAATAATAAAGCTAAACAATTTTGAAGACTTATATGGACTTATGAAGAATGAAATGGGTAGAACCAAGAGAACAATTCATACAATAGCAGCAATACCCTAAAAACAAACAACTTTGAAAACTATAAGAATTCTGAACCTAGTGACCATCTATGATTCTAGAGGACCAATAATGAAGCATGCTAATTCTCCTCTTGACAGAGAGATGATAGACTCAGAAGGTAGATTGAGATATTTATTTTTATAGACATGGTGAAGGAATTTATTTTACTTGAATCTATGCATATTTGTTAAAAGGATTTTTTCCCCACTGAAATAGAATGGGGAAGAAAAAATAGATTTCTGTTAATTTAAAAAAAAATTTTTTTAAGATATTGTAAAGAGTAGTCACAAAGTTATAAGAATAGCACCTGAGATTCCCAGAAATTCTTAGAATATAAAATTTTTAAAAAGATCCAGAAGAAAAATCTATGGCCTCACATGTTACACTCAAATGCTCAAAGTTTAAGTAACAAACAAGAAGAAGCAGATGGGGCAAATTTGAAGTATCTATCCCTGAGACTTGGTCAAATTAAACCCATGAGAGGTAAGGTTGCGTTGTATATTGAGGAAGTATAGTTGTGAGGAAATCCAAGAACTATTGAAGGGGCAGCATGGAGAAGAATATTTGGATGAAAGACAAAGACGGGAAAAACAGAAGTGTTTTCCCTTCACTCAAGTACTCTACTGACCAACTGGAGAGAAAGAGGGAATAGATGAGAAGTCTGATCCAGAGTGTTATCAGTGGAAGGAGACTATTGGACATTTTTTAACTAGATGTCCCATAAATAATAAAGAGAAGTTGCTCCATTCTTGTATTGTTTTTGTGTTCTCTCCAAAAAAGAATGACCTGGAAAGGACAAAACAAAAATGACCAACAGGGAATGGATTTCCAAGATAAACTGAGAGACAGCATCCTAAAATAGGTGTGATGGCTCAGTCATTGTCAGTCTTCTTCAAAAGATGTAGAAAATGGGAGAGCTGCAAAGTTGGAGGATAGATATCCCAATTTAAAAAAAAAAAAGGAAGAGAAGAGAGTCTCCAATTAATTATATACTAGTGAACTTGACTTCAATTCCAGGGAAACTTATAGAATATGTTATTAAAGAGATAGTTGGCAAACGTCTAGAAAAGAAACTTATGATTATGAAGAGCCAACATGACTTCATTAAGAACAACTCACTTCTTTAGACATAGCCCAATTTCTTCCCCTTTTGGGGAACTATTAAACTAGTGAGGAAAATGCTGAGAATATAGTTTACCTGGATTTGAGCAAAGGTCTTTATACTGTTGAAAGTTGATCTTGGAGAGAACATAATTGACTCCATTTTGTCATATATTTGCTATTTTTCTTTTTTCTTTCTGTTGTGATGCCTCTTTGATATGTATTGAATGTCTCCCACAATACCTTCCTTCCTCCTAATAGCTTTATGACTAACAACAACAAAAAAAACCTCAGAGGATCTCAATAGTTAAGGAAGTAAATCCTCTTCCTTCTCTTTATATTATCTAATAAAACCCTTAGTAGCAAGGACACATTCTTTCCTTCATAGCAAGTGATAAGTATCCCCCTTTTTTTAAAGATTTTTCTTGCCTACATGCTGTACTTTCTGTCTCTTTCTCTCTGTCTTTTTTTTTTGTCTAGGCAATGGGGCTAAATGACTTACCCAGAATCACTCAGCTAGAAAGGGTCAAGTACCTGAGGTTGGATTTGAACTTAGATCCTCCTGACTCTGGGGTTGGTGCTGTATCCACTAGGCCACCTAGCTGCCTCATGCTGTACTTTCTCTTACCAACCTGCTTTATAAGAAACTTTATCTCACATAACTTAGGAGGAGAGAGAAACATACACACACACCTATAGATCTTATCTTATAGATATGTGTATATATCTATACCTATACACACATACACATATATTCATGTGAGATAGATAATAGATCTATACATAGAGATACATAGATATAGATACACACATTTGTTCCCTCATTTCTTATAGCTCAATAGTATTCCATTACATTCACATGGCACAATTTGTTCAGCCATTCCCCAACTGATGGGTGTGTGTGTGTGTGTGTGTGTGTGTGTGTGTGTGTGTGTGTGTGTGTGCAGAGAGTTGAGTATACACACACACTTATGTCACCTACAGAATAATAAGACACAAATATCCATCACCTACTGATGGTGTGTGTCACACTCTTGAGTGAATAAACTGCGTTTTCCCCGTCTGCCTGAATAATATATTGACTTATTCAGGCAGTAGTTAATATGGACCCTAAAAACTCTCACAATAATTTTTCGTACTGTTCTTTTGGGATAGATGGAGAAATATGGATTAGGCAATAACACGATCGGGTCCTTTCAGAACTTGTTGGATGGCCAGTCTCAAAGAGTAGTTATTAATGGTTCAGCATCAATGTACTGGAAGGTCTGCAGTGAAATACCTCAAGGATCTATGCCTGGCCCTGTGCTATTCAACCTTTTTGTCAGTTCAGTTCAATAAACACTTATTAAATACCTACTATGTTACAGGCACTCTTCCAAGCACTGAGGATAATGGAAAAGAAAAAGAAAGATAGTGGGGCAGCCAGATGGCACAATGGTTAGAGCACCAGCCCTGAGGTCAGGAGGACCTGAATTCAAATCCGGCCTCAGACCAAACACTTGACACTTACTCTCTGTGTGACCCTGGGCAAGTTACTTAACCCCAATTGCCTAAAAAAAAAAAAAAAAGATAAAAAAAAGAAAAAGAAAGAGAGTCTCTGCCCTCAAGGAGCTTACAATCTAACGGCAGAAGCCAACAGAAAAGGAAGCTGAAAAGGAGTGGAGCCACTATAGGGTACCTGTTACTAGGGCATGATGTTTTGTGGAGTGGAAATCAAGCAGAGCCACTGATGACAAATGGAGAGTTATTTGCAAAGCTCTAGGCTTTGGGTGGCCTTTCTTGCTCCACCCTCCAGTCCTCTAACCCGAGAGCATTGAGAAGGTGTTGAGTATCAAAAACTGAGCTAACCTGCATGGTTTGAGATTTCAGGTGATCTGCTTATCCTGGAGGAGGCACGATGTTTTGTAGAGTAGAAGCCAAGCAGAGCTGCTAATGGAAAATGGAGAGTCATTATGCCTTGCCTTGAATAACGGCATCAGTGGTATGCTCACCATATCTGCAGATGACCCAAAGCTGAAAGGGACAGCTAACATCCTGGGTGACAGAATCAGGATCCAAAAGGATCTTGAAAGGCTGGAACATTGGGCTGAATCTGGCAAGAGGAAACTCAATAGAAATAAATGCAACATCTTGTACTTGTTCACCAAAAAAAAAAAATCAACTTTATGAGTATAAGATGGAACAGGCCTAGTTAGAAAGCAGCTATTCTGAAAAAGAACTTGGACTTCAAGGTCAAAATGAGCCAGCAGTGTGATCTGGTAGCCAATTTTATTTTTTAAAGAGGTAGTCAAGCTTAAGTGACTTGCCCAGGTTCACACAGTTAGTAAGTATTAGAGGCTAGATTTGAACTCAGGTCCTCCTGACTCCATGGCTGGTGCTGTATCCATTATGCCACCTGGCTGTCGTAGTAGCCAAAATTTAATATGATCTTGGGGGTTGGGAGGTAGGAGACAGGGAATAAAGCTTATAAGAATATGGATTATAGGGGCAGTTAGGTGGCACAGTGGATACAGCACCAGCTTTGGAGTCAGGAGGACCCGAATTCAAAATTGACCTCAGACACTTGACACTTACTAGTTGTGTGACCTTAGGCAAGTCACTTAACCCTGATGGCCTCGCCTCCCCCCCCAACTTAAAAAAGAAAATGAAAGGGTTGGATTCCATGATTTCTAAGATGCTTAAGAAAACAGAATATGGATTATGATAGTCACACTGTACTCTGTCTTGTCAGACCTCATCTGAGTATTCTGTTTAGTTTTGAGCCTCAGTGTCCTGCATCTGCAAAATGAAGAGACTGGATGAGTTTTTAGGTACGTTTGACTGGACCATCTAGTGCACAAAGAGGAGTAATAAGACTGGAAAGATAGAGCTAGCACTTCCCATGCCGAATAGACAAGTTTGTATTAGAGTCTAGATATAATAGGGAGCCACGAGAGTTTATTGAGTAGGACTATTGTAGAGGGCCGGCTTTGGGGAGTTGGAGGGCTTAGGCCAGCCCGGGTCTTACCTGCAGCTTGTACTAAGCCTGACAGCTGTGAAACTCAGGATGTCGGCTCACCACTTCCCTGTTCCATCTCTTGAGAACAGGATGCAGGAAGGGAGGAAACGGATGGGGTACAGGACAGGATGCAGGAAAGAGTGTAACAGACAAGGTACAAGGAAGTAAGGAAATCACTTAATTAGATTTGTACTTTTCATGAATAATAATGTTACTGTTGCTTGATCCAGTACCATATAAGCCTGAGCCCTCAGATCAGTAAACAGAGTTTGTTCTTCACTGCTCTCACCTGGCCCGTCATTCTTTCTCTCTTCACACTCAGCCGGCATCAGACCACAGCCGGGGATGCAGGCACTCCCGGCAGACTATAACATGATTGGACTGCCCTTTAGGGAAACCTTTTTGGCAGCTTGTGGCGGATGCATTGGAGGGAGGAGAGAGTCTTAAAGAAGGTATAGAAAAGTAAAAATTAGCAGAGCTTGAATTCAAATCCAGGTACTCTGATTCCAAACCATTCTTTTTATAGGATAAAAAGAGGAGCGGAAGAAGCATGTTCAGAAGCCCACTGCCTTGTAATGACCACAGTAAAAGGGTATTTCCTTAGGAGGTACCAACACCACCCCCAAAACCTCATCTTTTCATAAACCGCATGGACCACATGGGTGGCTGGGGTGGGATGGGGCCAGTAAAAAGATAATGGGCCCAGGTTATAGGGCACAGGGCAGCTGCTGGGATGGTTGGGTGCCCAGGTTATCCCTGAAGGGACAGAGCCCCAGGATAGAGCATACTGTGTGTGTCTGTCTAGCCCCATCTTTCTATAGCTCACAATGAACAACATGATAGTTAAATGAAAATCAAAACTTGAATTACAGGAAAAGAAGTCACAAGGAGGTGGGCAGGGGAGAAAAAGAAAGGGATGGTCCTGACTATTTGCCTCAATGAGGGTAGATAAAGTAGATGTTCTTTCTAGGTAGAGTATATATATGTATGTATATATGTATAAAACCTGAGTCCTTTAATAAGCCCTTTTGCTCTTCCCCACTAGCTGCCTCTCAGGATGCTAGTCAAAAGCCTTCACCACGTTCCTCTCCACTCCCAAGGTCCCCTACCCCTCAAATACGGGGCCCTAGGGATAGTGCCAATCCTGTGAACCTTCAAGATGGCTTTGCACACTGTCCTCTCTCTTCTCTGGTGCCCCTCTCCTGGCTTACCTCAGCATTTTTAGAACTACAGATTGTAAGCACCATGGGGGTGGCGGGAGGTCCTGGTGTGCAAGCATGCCCACTCTAGGTGTATACTTGCTAGGTGTCTTCTGCATGGTGCTGTGCTCTCTGTATACATACTCGGAGGGAGTCTTACCTAATAATAAGTGCTCTGTAGGTGTCCTCCTCCTCTTTCCTGTTCACTTTTCCCCCCTCCCCGAAATGGTATGACCCATGTTGATTACCTGTGTCCTGGCCAGGAAGGGAGTCTGCATTTCAGTCTCTTCAGCAGCCCAGGCAGAAGGGCAAGGCTGGCTCTCCCAATGGTCCTCCGGTTCCCCTTGCGCCGAAGTGCCAGCTTTACCCTGGAGTGCAGGACCTTGTTTGAGACACCTGATCCCACCATTCTTACCATGGAAGCCAATGTGTTGGTGATGGGAGCAGAAAACGTTGGGAAGTCAGGTGAGAACCCTTATCCTACACAAGTCTAGATCCCTATGCTTCTGCCATACCAGGAATGGGTACAGAGGGCAGAACATGGGAAGGGGAAGGATGATTGCGTGACTCTGGTATTGGGTGAGATTAATCTGTTGGCAAATTGACTATCTGCCTGGTGTCCTTGGCAGAGAAGTGCAAATATTACCTGGTTAATTAAACCTTGGTTACTGCCGATGCATCTAGCCCAGGGCTCAATCACTGATAGTCACTTGAACCAATATTCAGCTAGCACCCAACAGGTACCCTTCTGGGAGCAAGACCTAGGTATACAGGCAGCTCTCTCAGTGCTTAGCATCAGTGTGAACTAGGGTCATCCAGGCAATATGGATGCTATCCCTGACCAAGGGTCTTCCCTCTGTTTCCCTTTGCCTTGCAGCCCTGACTGTTCGTTTCCTGACCCAACGATTCATTGGAGAATATGGCGACCTGGGTGAGTCCTGGCCTCATTGTTGCTGGGTAGATGCTGCTGATTGCTTCTTCCATGTTCAGGGCAGAAAACGTGGCCCACTTAACATATTGGGAGCTGTTGGTTAATTGGATGAGGAAGTGAGAGAAGTGATAATTGGCACAGCCTCCGGTGTCCAGCCCTAATTATGACCCTCCTGGGGACTAAGCTGCTAATGAGACTGATGAGGCTCTCATCATGCTCAGAGACCTTTTGTCACTTTCCTTCTATGAGCTCAGGAAGCCCCCTCCAAGTTCTAGATTTCCTCTGGAAACCTCCATCTCTCCTTCTTCAGCTCCCTGTGCTCTGTCTCTTCTTTATGGTTAGAATTCTCTCATTTACTTTTCTTGACTGGCAGCTGCCCCAAACATATAACACGAGAGTTTTGTCTTTTTCTATCCACGACAGCCCCAGCACTCAACACTTCCATAAACACATGAACCTTTTCTCATCTTATTTGATATCAGCATGCTTAGTCCTACCTGGCTGTCCTGCTCCCCCTTGTCCTGTCTTTACTGCCTCTACCCTGGTCATATGACCAGTTCTATCACCCGTTTGAGCCATTCCTTTGAGTTACTTATCCCACCTATCTGGAGGAGTCTCTGTTTGGAGGATCTACTCTTCCCCAGCAGGTTAGTGCCCAATCCCAGGCCAGTGTCAAAAAGGCTTCCTCAACATGGAGAGAGAAGGAAAGAAACATGAGTATAAGGTAATGGGATTGGTCAGCATAACTGGCTATATTCCAATGAGTGTTATCACTCTTAGAGTCATCCTCTAGAGAAGAAAGCTATGGGCTCATCCCAACCGTACAGCTACTAAACATTTCAGGAGGCTCCAGAACAAGTTCAGGAATCTTAGATATCTCCCTCCTTCACGGACACTTTGGTTCAGCTTGGCAGGCTAATTACCACTCCAAAACTAAAATCCTCTCAGAGAACGAAGATTCACCACCATCGATACCAGAAGATGATTTTTGCAGCTCTGAATAGAACACTATACAACATGAATTTATTAAGTGCCTGCTACATGCTAGGTATCGTACTGGTCAGTAGGGGTACAAAGACAAAGAAATGAGTAGGTCCTACCCTCAGGGAGCTTGCATATTACTAGAGACAATAAAAATGCTATGTTGCAGAGAGAATGTTGTTTCCTCTGGACCTACAATATCCAAATCTTGTGCTCCTTCCATGCTCACATTCTCCTCTGCAACCTTGGTGAGATGGCAGAACTGGAGATAATCTGGAATCTGCGTGATAGGGATGAGAAGATAATGGAAAAGGAAAAGAGTCTTGATGAAGAAGGTTTCTGATATTGAAAAACATGGTCTCTTTTGTTCTCTGGCACAGAGTCAATCTACAGCCGAAGCTTGGATGTGGAGGGCAGGAAAATTCTCTTCCACATCTGGGACTTTCCCAGTTCCCATGTAAGTATACTCTCACAATAGGAATTAACACTTCCTTGGTGTAAGGAGAGGCCAATAGAAGTTTCATCTTGGGCTCTGGGGGCTAAGAGAGAGAGAGTACCAGACAGGCCTGTTGCATGTGCCACGTAGAGCAATCTCTTAAGCCTATAGCTCTTGCCTAATACATTACAGTCAAGAAGACCTTGGGCTCAAATCTTCTTTCTTGCTAGCTCAGTAACCATAGGCAAATAACTTGGCCTCTTTAAATATGTTTCCCCTTCTCTAAAATGGGGATAATGGTATTTTGCAGTCTATCTCATAACGTAGTCATAAGGCTTAAATGAGGAAACATATATAAAGTGCTTTACAAACTTTAAAGCACTTTTAAAAAGTCAGTTATTATTCCATGATGCCCCCTGCCCCAGCTGACAACCCAATCATGCCTCATGAGGAGCTATGTGGACAGGCCTGAGTGTTGGTCTGTATGACGTGCACATCAGAGCAGGTTTTCTCCTCAGAGATTCTGGCAGCTCCTGACTTTGGGTACACATGACACAATATTTTTGTCCCAGTCTCTGATACTAACTAGTTGTGTGACCTTGGATGAAACATTTATCTTCTCTGGCTTTAGTTTTCCCACCTGTAAAATGAGGAGCTTCAAGGTTCTTTCTAGCCCTGATATTCCCTGATTAGATGCTATGTAAAGTTCATTTCTATTCTACAATTCTGCCAATCAACAAGCATTTATGAAGCCTTTACTATGTGCCAAGCTCTGTGCTAAGCACTGGGGATATAAGCAAAGGGAAAAACAAGGTCCTTGACTTCAAAGAGCTCATGTCATGATGGGGGAAACAGCACACCAATAACTATGTATGTCGTATAACTATGTACAAGAGAAATAAATTCTAAACGGGAGGCAATTGCAAAGGAAAGGCCCTTGCAGAGGAGGGAGGCTAAGGAGAAAGGGGCACTGGAGAGGAACTCTTCCAGAAGTTTCTGTAACACGGACCTTGGGAATAAAATATCTCGGGAAAGGAGAGAGTGTTTATTAGGATATAGATTGATATACTCAGTTTCCTAGTTTCAGCCTTGCTTCCAAGTATATACATATCATAAAACCAAAGAGCTCAGGCAAAGCAGTTATTTAGTGGTTTCAGACATGCCTGATTGTGACCACGTTTGGGGTTTTGTGGGCAAAGATACTGGAGTGGTTTGCCAAATGAGGAAACTGAGGCAAATAGGGTTAAGTGACTTGGCCAGGGTCACACAGCTAGTGTCTGAGACCAGATTTGAATTCATGAAGATGAGTCTTCCTGATTCCAAGCCCAGTGCTCTATCCACTGTACCGACCCAGGTATGTTGACAGATGACGAATTACCAGGAAAGAAGAGCTTAGAAACACCTACCTGCCCTTGGCCAATGTCTCAGGAAAGGGGAAGGAAGCGGAGCATCTAAGACTTCCCTAGATGCACAGATTCACCTTCTTAGTGGTTCTTTACTCTCAATACTCAACCTCAGCTTCTTTTGTTCCTCTTCTCAGGGTCAGGCCGACCAGGACTCCACAGAAGAGAAGAGGATCCAGTGGGCGGATGGCTTCATCTTGGTCTATAGCATCTGTGATAGGGCCAGTTTCCACGTCCTTCCCACCAAAGTGCAGTTCATTAAGGTGGCCAAGGAGGGCCAGAGCCCTGAGAAGGTGCCTATCGTCATTGTGGGCAATAAGAGGGACCTAGGGCACCACCGGGCAGTTTCCATTGAGGAAGGGCGGCTTTTGGCTCTCACCCTGAACTGTGACTTCTATGAGGTGTCAGCAGCTGAGGCCTCTCATGGAGCCCTTATGGTGTTCCAGGGGCTGGCCCAGCACTTTTGGCAGGCTCGACTGCCACCCCGAAGAGGTATTGGGATCCGAGGTATTGTTAAGAGTATGTCAGCAGTATTTGCCCGAAAGAGAACAGATTCCTTCTAGGCTGGTTCACCCAGCATCAATTTCCCTCCTAGTAAGTTATCTTGGGCAGTCACACATTTATTGAGCACCTACTATGTGTAAAACACTATCTGGGACTGGGATAAGGTAGTAGAAAAGAAATAGAGTGCTCATTCCTGCCCTCAATGAGCTTTTAATTCATGTACCCAGTGCCCACTCGACCACTTTCAACTACCATCTCTAGGGAGTTAGTTTACAATCTCCCAGATTAACATGCCGTGATTCCAGCCAAGATGGTACTGGCTTCTAGATTAGACTTGGCGTGTAATTGAGCCTCTTATGAAGCCCATGGGCCATTTTCTTTAGGTATGATCCCACTTTCCTAAACTCTAGGAAAGACTAATTGTGAGATGTGGCATCAGTGGTTCTTACCTATCTGGGGTCTTCCATATTTAGGATCCTTTGTAGCCTGGTAACTCTGGTCATAAATACTCAATATGACTGCCCTAAGTCAAGGGCAATGCAATGTGGCACAGTGGAATTAGAAGTGAATTTGGAGTAAGAGCGACTGACCTTAAAACCTGGCCATGTTTCTCTGACCTTGGGAAAGCCATCTTCTGGACCTCAGTTTCTGCTTTTCTCAAATTAGGGATGGGACCTGATAATCACTAACATCCCTTCTAGTTCTGATACAGGTTTGTAAACCCCAGAGGCTGGATCTTTGTGAAGTTGTGTTTTGTGACTGTAAAATAAATTCCCTATGATGGAGACTTTCTCATTGTCCATAATGACTTGGGAAGAAAGGACAACACTCACAGGTCAGAGTTCCTAGGTCCCTGTAATAGCAGGAACCCAGGAATGTTTACCCTCTCAGAGGTTTCTGGTGGCCAGATCTACTACATACACACACATCCGGCATTTGTCAGTTTGCATCAAATTGCCTAATCCCAGCTTGTATATGTCTCCTTCTGTTCTCCCCTGACTCCTGGGGGTCTTTTTACCCCTCTGTGGCTAACCTCAATTGGGCACTTTTTGCTGGGAATCCCAGGAGTGCTGTTGAAGACAGGCAGAACACCCAGCTTTGATATTCCTGCTCATATCCCAGAATCTGCTGCTTCCTACCAATGAGAACTCCCAGGGCCCAAACATGGGGCCCTTAAGTAGCTAACCACTGTCCCCAGTGACCAACTCTCCATTCTAGAGTCCTTTAGTTACGGCCAACCATGACAAAATTGTGGAGTAGATAAAACTTATTTTCATTGTCCCTCCAAGTCAGTCATCTTTCACCCTCTCTATTCCCATTCTTACTCAATGCTTTCATGTTTTCTGTCACTTGGCATTCTACAGATTCTCACAGCCAAGTCCTACCAAAATCAGGCCTCATTGGATCCTAACTTTCCTTTCTCTATGCCATTTAAAAAATTAGCAATGGGGTATGTCATTCCTTCAGAGCCCTATTAAGTTACTTGCTAATCTTATCAGCTCTAAGGTGCTAAACCTGCTAGAGCTATTTATGTTTTTCAAAGGAAGATAGTAAAGAAATTAATTTCTACTGGTAGGAATTTCAGAAAATTGAAGGGAGGTTGCTTAGCAGGCCCCTCAAACTACACTTTACATAAAAATAAGCAATTCCAATAACCCCATGTTCACAGTGGTCTTAAGGCCCCTCAACCATCTTGCTAATCTGGACCAGAAGAATATTAATGCCTTCCAGAGCCCATTTTCATACACAAGGACTTGGCAGAGGCCTCTACTGGGATAGGAAAGTCCTGTGAGGGGGTCATGTGCTTCTGGGTGTGACTTACTCAGCAAAAGAGTGAGATCCTGGAAGAGTAATTCAGCCACATTCTACAAATAAGAAATGTTTCCAAGGGCTTTTGTAAAATTGGGCAGCTCAGGAAGATGAAGAGACTTAAGTCTTGCAGCCCTAGGGCTGGCCTGACCCCCCCCTCCCCACTGCCCACCTCCCCAGTAAGATGTAGGAGAAAGAGACAGGGGAGATCCACAGCCAAGCCAACAGTACAGTAGCTTATTATGTTGTGTTTATTGTACATCTATAATAGTTGAGGCACAGGAGTAGTTATAGGTAGGGAGATTTTGCTGCCCAGGACAGTCTCTGGCATCAATCCCAGGAGGATGGTAAAGGGATGGAGGGGAGAAGCCTGAAGACTTCCCACAGAGATGAAGCAGCAGAGGGTGGCTTGGAGACTGAAAAGTAGTTTTAAGTGGTTCCCTGGAACAAAGGAATGTTTCTTGGTTGCATTTCTTTCCATGAACTGTGACATAATTGTGTAGCATATGAAGAGACACATGCTCAGGACCTTTGCTGAGAACAGACCCAGGGTATGATATGGGTGTCTGTCTTCTTGGATGTTGGTTTTCCCATTCCCTGTGATGAAAAGCTAAGAATCTCTCCACCTTTCCTGACATCCTAGACTAGATCCACCTTTCCACCTTGCCTGGGCCTTTCAAACAAAGGACAAGGAGAGAGGTAAGAGGGGAGCTGAGGTTTGAAAACCTCTCCAAAGACTTTTCTCATATTCTAAAGGGTCTCAGGGAAGCCCATGTGTCCTGACAGCTCTTCCTGCCCTCCTCTTCTTTCACTCCCCATTTTCTCTTTCTTCTGTTGTCCTTTGCCCAGGCTGCCCTCTCCATATTTGGATTACTTGACACTCTTCCCTACTTGGCAATGGGAAAATGATCCTCATCTTTCTTAGGATCAGACTAAGAGTATTTCCAAATCCCCTCAGAGTCTCTGATCACTCCCTTCCTGTTCCATCCTTGGCCCTGCCTCTTGTCTCCACAGTCCAGGTGCATAGAGCTTCTCTGTCTCCATGCACTGCATAGAAGTAATTAAACAGGAATTACGCCAGACCACTAGGCACAGACTGGGCATCTCTGAGGCCTAGAGATACCAATGATAGTGAACTAAGGCCCACAAAGTGATCACACTCAAGCTCTCCCCGAGGTAACTAAGTCAGTTTGCAGGAACACTTCTGAAACTGCTTCCCCCTACCAGGGAATTCTCATGGGTTGCATGGGGGTGGAGCTTTTGTATTTAGCAAAGTATACATATACATACAGGTAAGAGGCATCAGTGAGGGTCAGTGTAAGAGGAGCCTAAAGAAGCTTAGGGAAAGGGTGCTATGGGGATTAGCCCAAATTCTAGTGATGTAGCTAAGCTAACAATAAAGAAAATGGTTTAGGATTCACTGTGGTTGTGCATAATAGAAAAACAGGGTGGAAGAGAACCCAGAGTGGTCATCTTTTTCATCACTCTGCCCTTGGATAACCCTGAAATCAAAATGCAAATGGAAAACCTGAGAAGGTAGGGGTTATTTTAATAGATAAAGAAATATGTTTATAAACAGCCAACCCACATGCAATGGAAGGAAGGGTTACTAGCTAAGGTGATACTATCAAATTATGGCACTTTTTTTTTAAAACCAATGTCCTACATTTTACATGCCCAAATGAGTATAGTCTCCCTCAAAGAAGTCCCTTGGAGAGTCCACACATTCATTCCAACACATGCTGCCATTGCTCAGAACACTTTGGGGACAGTTCTTTGGGAATTCTCTTCAGAGCTTGCAACACATCCTTTTGAATAACCTCATTGGTGACACACCTTTCCTCCTTCCATGATGGAGTTGATTTTTAGAAATAGCCATAAGTCATTTGGAGCCAAGTCTGATAGGTAATTCATGTGGGAAATATAATTTGGGGTCAAAAGTAAGAGACAGGTGGATGTTGAACCAAATGGTCTGAGTCTACATCCTATGTGACCTTGAGCTAGTAACTTAACCTTCCTGGGCCTCCATTTAAATACTCATCTGTAAGATAAGCCAGTTGAACTAGATGATTTCCAAAGTTTCATCTAGGTTCCTATTAGGGAGTATGACTATACAGAGAGAAAAGCTGGCTTCCTTGTGTGGCTGCAAATAGGCCTTAGAGGCTATTGCCAAAGAAAAGTTCTAAATGTGTTTGAGCAAGGGTTACACCATTGGAAGACTGAATCAGCTCCCAAGAGCAGTACTCTGAAGGGCACAACTCCGATTTAAATGGATGAGTCAAGTTTAAAAGCACAAATATCCTTAATCCCCCAATCTCATTCTTCATATTTAGACCTGATTCAGTCAGCCTGGGAGCTCCTGATGTGCTGAGTCTGTGGGTCTCATCTCACTCTTTGGTTTTGATGGCTCCAAGCCCAGAAGCCCTCAGCTTTTGCCCTCAGGTTAGTCTCAATGCTGATGGTATGCTTCTGGCAAGCAGGCAGGCAGAGGGGGAATCCATCTCTACTAGGATATCTAGGATTCTGCCACAGCAATGAATAAGTAGGTAGGTTGTAAGCAAAAGCAGAGGTCACTGGATTGAGTTCTCTTAGGATGCAGGCTTTGCTCTTCTTTGTGGAGGCAGTGGGGATAAGCTGGGAGTGGTGATGGTAGCAGGGCATGAGCACTAACCAGTGGGACCAACTGAGGGCACCAAGGAAGGACTGGTTCTGCAGGGACCTTGGCCTGGGTCAGTTCTTCTTGTAAAGCTGGTTGTGGTGGACCCGGTTATAGATGGGCTCCATGATGCTGGGCCGGTAGAAGCTGTCACTGACACGGCGGGTGGGTTTCTCTCGGTGGTAGGAAGAAAACATGGAGCGGCTGGTGACAGGTGTCTCAGGCTCAAAGGTGGGGCCACGATGGAGGGAGCTGCGCTGCTGGGGCACCTGGTCCAGCACTTTCTGCTGGGTAAAGAGTTTGTCTTCTAGGCCCAGGAAGGAGAGAGCATTGCAATTCCGGGTACTCCTCAAGCTTCCCCGGTGCTGTAGTTTGCCTGGGAACTCAGGGGTGGGTGAATTGGCACCTTCACTTCGATCAGTCTCAGATGGAGGGTTATCTATGTCCTGAAATTCACTCTCTGGCTCCATCAGTGACAACCTGGGGAGCTGAGGAGCCAGGGGTCAAAGTTAGAGAGCAGGGCCTTAAATTTGATAATCCTCACCTGAATCCGCCATCCTCTTTACTTTTCCCTCCATACTCCACTCTCTCAGTTATGTTAGGTTCAATATTTTTAAAATTCGCTTTACATTTATTGAGCATCTGCAAAATGCAAGGCATTGTAGAGTATATAGATAGCTCAAATGTCTATAGCACTTTAGGCTTTACAAAGCATTTTCTTCATAACTTTCATATGTACATAGGGCCCATATTATTACCATCCCTGTTTTACAGACGAGAAAACAAACTCAAAGGTTAAGTGATTTCTGGTCAGGATCAATGGCAAAGTCACAGAAGGGCTGAAAACACCAGGGAGGCCCCAGACACAGCTGCTGGCCATGGCCATGGGCTGCTTGGAAGAACTTCCTAGTGATTAAAAATGCTTGAAAATGGTCCTGGGTGGCTTCTGTGACTTTAGATGACCACTAAAGCCCCTCGAACTCTGAGGTTTTACAGGAGCCAAGATGAAGGTCTTCAGGGTAGCTAAAGTCCCTCAGAAGTCCTCCATACACTCATTAGAACATCACTGTCACCACAGATCCTTTCTCAGAAAGGATAGTTAGCTCAGTAGTATTTCCTGACAGCTTAATAATACCTGGAATTTATATTATAGTGCTTTACATCATCTCTGGGGCAACCTCTGGATGAATTGCTTTCCTCTGCAATTATATCTGTATTAAAAACGCCAGTTTTGTCTGAAAGTAGAGCAGCTAATTGTCACAATGAATGAAGGGCTAGACAAGGGATCAGGAAGACCTGAGTTCTCAGCCTGCCTCAGACACGTAGTACCTCTATGATAATATAATATAATAATATAAGCAAGCCTCTTGGCCTCCTTCAGCCTCAGTTTCCTCATCTGTAAAATAGGAATAATAATTAGCATGCACCTAACCCTGAGTGGTTATTGAGAGGATCAAATGAGACAACAGATGTTGGTGCTTTGCAAACCTTAAAGTGCTCCATAAGTGCTAGCTATTAACTACAAAGCCATGGTAGGGGAATCAGAACAAAGGGGAGGGAAGAGGGCACAGCGTGGCACCTAGAGAATTCAAGGATGGGAAGTATGACTCTACCTGGTAAGGAGGTGAGGAGATTTTAATTTTATTTTTCTTTTAAAGCATTCCAACAGAAGCTGGGAGAGGAGCTTCTTGGGGCACTAGGCCTTAGTTTGGGGGCCATAGAGTTCAGGAGGTTCCAGAATTAGAAATCTAGCCCTAGCTTTCCCACTGACTCTGTGTGTCAGGGTGTGCAGTGAAGAAATCAGAGGACCTGGCCTTGTTACTTGTTGCCTGTGACCTTAGGGAAGTCGTTTAACACCTTTGTTTCCCGATTTGTAATGTGAGAGAGTCAGGTCCCTTCCAGCTCTAAATTTATATTCCTGTGGCCTTGGACAACTCACTTAACGACTCTGGGCTTCAGTTTCCCCATCTATAAAATGACAAAAGAGCAAAGTCTCTTCTAGCTCTCACAATCTATAATGTTCCCTGATCTAAGTAAGATGCTTTCCCAGACTCCTGGGGCTAAGACTTCCAGTCTCCACAAGGGGGCCCTGACCGCCGCTCCAAATGATCCTCAGTCCTATGGGCCAGAGGGGGAAGAAGAAAAAGGAAAGAGGGAGCCTAAAGATGAAGAATTGTTAAATATAGAATCACAGAGCCAAGAAGAATTCTAAAATCATCCAGGCCAACTCCCTTATTTTACAAATGAGGAATTTGAAACTCAAGGAGGGAAAGTTGGAATAGAATCTTGATCTAAGATACTTACTGGTTTTATAACTCTATGATGCCATAATTCAATTTTCCTAAACTAGTTAATGAGAACTGAGATTTGAACAGATCCTTCTGTTTCTTTCTCCAGGCCTGATTAGAGGACTCGACCCTAGTATCCAAACTGACCTCAAGACTTGGCATTCAGCCCTCAATGCCCATGTTCACCTGGGCTTAGGCTCAGCATTCTCCCTTCCCCCCATGACTGCTCATCCTTCCAGTAGACACTGGGCTTTTGCCAGGCCTCCTGGGATGGGAGTGGCCATAGGGGACTACTCACCGGTACATAATGCACCACTGTGTCCACCACATTATCCGTAACACCTTTCAGGGCATCTGATAATGACATTGCCCTGCCTTTGGCAAAGGTCTCCTGACCGGAAGTGAGGTGAAGCAGTCTTCCAGCGGTGTTGTTCCAGATGGCAAAGGGTGCCCACTTTACAGTGGAGACAGTGGTCAAGTAGGCAGACTGCAAAGTGTGAACCACACTACCTAAGAGGCTCTGGTTACTGGACATGGTCTGTGAGCAAGAACTCAAGTTAGTAACTTCACTGTGAACCCCTGACCCCCAAACACCCTATTACTCTCCATTCCATCCAGACACTCTCTTTCACATACATCTTCCAGAACTTGTTCACCAGAGCTATAAGTAACTATTTTTGCTCCCAGGCTTATGTACCTCCATCTTGTACCCACTGGCTCCTTCTATTTCCACCTCACTCTGTGGACATCTCTCTATGGGATTAGGGAAGCATAAATCCACTTCTGGGTCAGGAGGCAAAGAGCAGTTTTCAGGTGATGATTGAGGAGGCAACGATAATGGAAAGAATATTCATTGGCTTTGGAGTCAAGGGACTGGATTCAAATCCTGACTTTGCTATTTACTACCTATGTATCTTTGAGAATGTCACTTAATCTTCTGGGTTTACCTTTCCTTATCTGTAAAATGAGGGGTTGAACCAGGTGATCTTTATGTAACCTGAGACAGTTTGGTGTGCAATGGAAACAATGTCAGATTTGAAATGCCAAACATATTCCTTCTATCCTAAATCTGATTAGCCTGGCCCTCCCGGTCCCTCTCCTCCTCCTCCTTTCCCTGCCCTAAAAGACACAACTCTCCTTGGCTCATTCTTTTCACCTCATTTAGTTTGTTCTCTTCCTTCTTCACTTCAGGTTCTTCTTCCTCCTCCTCTTCTTCTTCCTCCTCCTCCTCATCCTCATCCTCCTCTTCCTGAGCCTGGTTGTACTGCCAATTTCCACTTGATGTGGATCGGGGTCTTGACACCACCTGCAGGGCAGCTGAAACACCCCACTGGGCCATACTGCTCTGTGAGGAGGCCAAACAACACTGGGTGAGTGAGGATGTGCATTGGGGAGGAAAAAGGGGTCAGGAGGGAGGAAAAGGAAGGGGCAATAACCCCCAAAGAGTGTACAGACCTTGCCAATCCTCCTGATACCCAAAATCAGAAATACACAGAACTTCTAAGTTCCAGAGTAAATATTCCTTTGTGGAAGGGTATGGGTATTTGTTATTGTTGTTCAGTTGTTTCAGGCATGTCCACCTCTCCCATGACCCCATTTTGGGATTTTCTTGGCAAAGATACTGTAGTGATTTGCCATTTCCCTCTCCAGCTCATTTTACAGATAAGGAAACTAAGGCAAACAGGGTTAAGTGACTTGCCCAGCTAGTAAGTGTCTGAGGCCAGATTTGAACTTGAGTTTTTTGAGTCTTCCTGACTCCAGGGCCAATGCGCTATCCATTGCACCACCTAGTATGTATGTACAGGTATATAAATACAACTATATATAAATAGATTTTCAAAGACAGTTCAGATTTTTAAAAAAAGAAAATATATTTTAAGCAGTTTTGAGGCAAATCCATTTCCTTATCTGAGCTTCAGTTTCCTCATCTATGAGATAAGGATAATAGTATCTTCTATTCTTCTTCATAGGGTCTATCTTCCTCATAGAGTCACTGTAAGGAAAGCACTTTTAAAACAGTCGAGGATTATATAACGTGAGCTATTATCAAATATCATGTGAACAAGGTAGCAATGCCCACCCTTTATTCACCTTTCTTACTTCCTTCCCCTACCCTTGCTCAGATGACTGGCCATCTCCCTGAATACCACATCAAGAAATAAAATTAGATTTTCAGAGTCACCAATCCCTGGGTTCAAATCCTGACTCTACTAATTACTACCATTAGGACCCTGAGCAAAGAACTTAACTTTGCTGGGCTCATCTGTAAAAAAAATCCTCTAAGGTTCCTTCCTGTTTTAAATCCTCTGATCTTAGTATCCCAACAAGCCTTTGTGTTCAGGAGCTCCCGGTCCATTTTGGAGAATGAGCTCTCTATTTTGGGAGAGTAGAGCTAGGATTGAGGGACTGGGGGTAGAAAGCAGGAGCAATGGAAATAAAGACAGATGAGTTGTGCATACCAATTCTTGACTGGCCTGGAGACCAAATGGAAACTCACCAATGGAGCCACACCTGGAATCCACTTGGCTAATGCATGGCCCCAGCGGAGGGTCTGGACTGTCGTCTGAAAAGTGTGCTGGGAGACAGTGTTGGTTAAAGTTCCAATTCTTTGAAGGAAGCTGGGCTTTTGCTTTGGCAACTTCTGCTGGGGTTGGGGAGGATTAGGGTGCTCCAGCACTGTGGCTGAGTTAGAATTGGGGTAGAAGGAGAAAAGAAAAACCAAACAAATGGTGAGAAGTGGATCCAGGATATCTGGAAGTACTAAGAATATCCTTTTGGGAAGCAGCACAGTCTAAGAAAGGTGTTCTTAGTCCATGGACCCCAATAGGATAGAACCTGGCCAACTGTAATGGGAAAAAATGAAATCTTTATTTCACTAATCTCTAACTGAAGTTAACATTTCTAATAATTATGAATGTAGGCAACAAACTATAGTAATATTATTTTTATATTACATTACAGTGGTTGCAGATATCTCAAAATATCACCAATACTCATTGCTACTTAAAATTGCTGATTGTTATTAAATCTGCTGGAAATATTACTATAATTTTAAAAAATATTTTGATAACTATTTGATAACTGGTAGAGATCATACTATCTAACTCCCTAATTTTTGCAGATGAAGAAGCTGAGGCTCAGAGAAATTCACACAGTTACAGGGGCTCTACAATGGCAGAATAATGACGCCAGATTGCTGATCTTTCTATTGTATTCTGATTCCTCTCTGAAACCTTGCTCCCTGGCCCCAGTTTTTCAGGCACAATGGAATCCAGGCTAGTAGAACAGATAAACTTATTTGTAAAATGATGGGTAATAGTTAAGGTTCCTTCCATCTCCAAGGTCCTCCGTCCCTAACCTTTCCACATCATTTCTGATTTTCACGGAGCTGAGAGAGTCTGGCATTCTCCAGCAAAATGTTTCTGCTTAGTTTCTATCTTAGTCTCCCTGCCTCCCCCCACCCCTGCTCAGCTTTCTAGACATTGGATACCTGGATTTTCCTGGGGTGCTGGCATCAAATAGTTCACCACCTTCTCAACATTGCTTAAGGCCAAGTCTGCCCCTCCAGCTGCCAGCTGACCCACCCGGGTGCTGGAGGCATAGTTAGCTGTGTCCCGTGCCATACCCCAGGCAAGCTCACAGCCAGCCAAAGCTGTCCCCAGGACCTTATCTGAAGTGCTGGCAATGGGGACACTGAAGCTGTTTCTGGCACTTCGGATCCTAGTGGAGATGGTTTCCTTTAGTTCAGAAGCAATCTGTAAGCAGATGAAAGGGCAACACAAATCACCCTCAAAAATATTTTTTAAAATTTTATTTTAGAGCATCTTATATCATTTTCATGTACCTGCCAAATCCTAATTTGTACTGCATTTATCTGTATACCTACCATACTCCCACACTAGAGGGTAAACTACTTTAGGGGAGGGATTATGTCATATCTTTATATCTCTCCTACTACTAAGTACAGCAGGATCATTGGATTATACAGATTTAGAGCTGGTAGGGACCTTAGAAGTAATCAAATCCAACCTATTAATTTTACAGTTGGAGACACTGAGGCAGAGAAAGGTTAAGTGACTTACCCAGGGTTACTCAGCTAGTAAGTATCTGAGGTGGGTTTGAACCCAGGTCCTCTTGTTTCTGAGTTCACTGCCCTATGCACTACACCATATTGCATATGGTAATACTTAATACCTATTTGTTGAATAAAGGAGGATTTTCTTTGTAAAGGTCTCAGGCATGGAAGGCTCAGAGCATCTCTTGTCTGTTCCATATTTCAAGGACCCTAGCATTTGGATGAACTTTTAGACATGTGGTTTTAGCTGGAAAATGGATGATCCCTCTCCTGTGACAACTGTAGATATACTTCCTAGCTTCTTTTCCCTAGGACCCCAAAAGAACCAAATTTCAAGAACATGGATCTCAGCTCCTAGGGGATCTTGCCTATTTTAAGCTACAGCCTTAAGGGGCACCATCTTCCCAGTCATCTGAGCTCATAAACTTTGAATCACCTTTGACTCTGATCCTCAGCTCTCATTGACAGTCAAGGAGTTGCCAAGTACTATCATTTCTATCTCTGCAAGATCTGTACAATCCGGCTCCTCCTCTCCACTCCCACTGCAAATACCCTGGCACACACCCTTATCTCTTGTTGGGACTTTTATAATAGCCTCCTAATGGTCTTCCTGACTTTAGTCTATCTATTCTCCAATATAGCCTTCAAGCTGTCTCCCTAGTAATCTTCCTAACATACTGCCCCTGCTCTATTCAAAAACTTTCAGTGATTCCCCACTATCTATCAAATAATTTAAAACTCTTGATCCTGGCATTCAAAGCCTCACAACCCACCTTTACCCTACTTCTGTAGACTTAAGCCCTAGTATATATCCCTTTACATACTCTCTGTTCCAGCCAAACTGAACTACCGCCTTCTGTTAAATTGACCAAAACAAAGTTATAGAAGCCATGGAAAACTCACAGGAACACCCAATCTGAGAAACATAGGGTCAAAGAGATAATAGGGTTCATCCCTAGGCTTCAATGAGGTGATATTTCCGTGGATGAAAATTGAATCTTTTCACAATTCTCTTCTCCCCACTCCCTACCCCCCCCCATCCAAACATTATTTTATCTGTTCTTCAGGAAGTAGAAGAAAGTAATTCTGACACTGGGAGTAGAGTTGTCTGATTGCCTGAAAAGAAAGCAGGCAGTGAGATACAAATCATGGGGAAGACATTTCCTTACCTTTTCTGGAGGGTATTGGAGAGCAGGAATCTTTTCTTCCAAGTGGTCTAATCCACGGCAGGCCAGCTCGTTGGCAGCTGTGACTGAAGCAAAAAACAGACAGCGTTGAAGCTAACAAATCCACCTTACTTTGAGAAAACAGAGTTTATTGGGAGAGATATAAGGCTACAGAATATTGCCAAATCACATATCACATAACACCTGTCATCTTCATGAACAGACCTGAACCCTAGAGTTTAATCCCAAGTAATACCATCTCCTTGGGATCCTTTGGCCTGATTCTGATCTGGGGCCAGGAGGGACCACCCTGGGGTTATTTCACTTCTAGGTCAGCTTTGGGGATATATGATAGATCAGAAAAAGGTCTTTTGTCTATAGTGGTGGAGGCTTGAGGATTGAAGGCTAGAAGGGAACCTGGTGAACAGATATTCCCTTTAGAAAGTTTTCTCTTAAAAAAAAAAAGAAAGTTTTCTCTTTATTGGCCTATGAGGTCTCAGGGGCTGCATATTCCCCAAGAAGTGAAGGAACTTAATGCAGTGCCCTGGAAATCCTTATTCATTGGATCAGGAATGTCAATTGAAACAAAAATTTGCTTGGTACATTGAAGTATTCTAAAATTCTGGTCTTTCTACTGTTAAATCTGCTTAAAATGTTATACAAGATCATAGAGGCCTGGGTCCAGGATCAAGGTCTTTCAGTCTGACTCTCTTCTTATTGCTGACCTCTGAAAGTCTCTGAGATACATCTCTCCTTAAGAGAGTGAGAGGTGCTGGACCAGTAAAAATTCTGTTCAATGTAGAGAGAATAGTGGACTCTTCAATACTTATATAACTTCTGAATTTTCTAGGGTTGGAACTATAGACTTTGAATCTATGCCAGGCTCAACATTGCCTCATTGCTCTCGATGGGTGCATTGCTTAAGTCAGTGGTTCATTGGTAACTGGCATCTTCTCCCATCCAGTGTGTACAGATCTCTTCCTACTCCACCTTTCCAAAACATTTCCTTGGTGGAAATAAAGTATTCTCTGAAGGCTGAGTAATGAAATTCAGACAGAGAGATAGCCCAGGCTCCCTGCAACTTACACTGTGTTGACAGCCGTCGGACCACAGGCTCCATGCTCCATGCAGCCAAGTTGCTGGCTCCTTGTATACCTTTCTCATAGGCATTACATACAGAGGCCACAAGTGGATGGGCTTCTTTGGTGCTGGTGTAGGTCTTTTGGAAACACTCACAGGTTCCACTTACCACAGGCAACTGAAAGACTCTCTGGAGTACATTTTCCTGCTCCTAGAAAGGAAAGGAAGCATAAAAGATTTCCTTCTTTCCCCCCTTCTTTCTCCCTCTCAATACCTCCCCTTTTCTGTCTGCAGAACCTCATGCTCACCTTTTCCTTATATAAGATTGGACTAACCTGAAGAGTCGGTGTCAGAAGCAAGGGAAGAGAGAATGCTATCATGCCAGGGGCCTCTGGGCAACCCACTCATTACATGAAGGAAGAACATGGGTAGAGAAAGTAAGATGGTGCACATGAATGTGAAAGCCCTATTATTTACAGCCCAGGTTTTCAGCAAAAGCCAGCCTCTCTTTGTCAAATAGCCAAGCTATATTTTCCCCCCCTTTCAACTGAAATACAAGTACATCTTTTTTCAGAAAGCCTTCCATGACCAACAACACCCAACCTTCCAATCCACTAGCAAAATCTTCTGCTCTTTTTCCTGTTTTGAAAATCAGGACAACTTAAGATAAAGGTGTTGTAAAAAAAATACAAATGACTGTACCATCTAGTTGATGGTAAAACTTTGCCTCATACCTCTTGTTCCCCCATTTGCCTAACATTCAGGAAAATGAGAGCTCTGAGCTCTATGTCTACATTCATACTTTTAACAGCATAGGAGTGGGAGAGAACATATTAGCATAATCATAAACTCAGAGGTGCTGCACTCAAAAAGTAAGCTTTGTTGGCAATGGAATGACTGATTAATCTTTGTATCTAAGTGTCACTAAATACTAGAGGGCACTTGATAATGAAGACGGAGTCTTTAATTAAAATAGTCATAGGAGTAGTACTGAATTATCTTTTATGATGGTGAAATAGAGAACAGACTCAGGTTCAAATTGTAGGGACCTGAGGTTTGAAAACAGGATCCTCAATGCTAGAATGTCCTTCTCACACTAATCCAACAAGCCAGCCAGCAAAGTTTGGTTAGACTCCTAGATAATGGTGCAAATCCCCTTCCTGCCATAGACTCTACCCAAATGGAAAAGAAACCATGTTCCTTGTACTACATATCAGCGAGTTGTTTTTCTTTTTTCATTTTTACTGAATTTGATTCTGAAGTTGCTGCATCTCAACTGGGAAGAAATAAATGTTGTAAGTCTTCAGAGAAATGCTATGATTTCCATAGGCTATGCGGTCTTGGGACCATCTCTCCTGTAACATAGTCATACATGTGTGTTTCTCAGTCACAATTTTTTTCCTTTTGTTTGAAGCATGACCACAATAGTGTTAAAATGAATAGTGATAAAATTATTTTCTCAAGAAGCCTGAGGCCAGGCACCTTGGACAATGTAGGCAGATTAGAGCAGGGCAGGCATCCATACTTTGGGTTTAAGAGATTAACACGAACTTTCTGATCGAAAAGGGAGAAGAAATATATCTGTCAAGCAGGAATGTTAGATGACTTATTGCCAAGTACTTCATGTGTTTATGAGGAAAGTACCTTGGGCATTTATAGAATAGAGTGAACTAAAAAAAAAAATAGCTCCCTCTCCCTGGGGTATATCAGAAACTAGAAAATTATATGTATATAAGCAAGAAAACACTATCTAGGATACCTTAAATTGAAATTTTAGACACATCTGTGGTAAAGCCAAAATGTAAAGTGGTGCTAAAAGGGTAACAGAACCTCCTATTCTGAATGACTTAGATGTTTACCTGACTGAAGCTGAGGCCTAGCTGGCCCAGGTGTTTTCAGGTCCTTTCCAGCTTCATCAGTCTATGGTTCTTTGTGGCATTTATAAGAACAATGGTGTTTTAGGGTTAACTTTAGGATAAGGAAGAACACTGTTTCAGGGACATAATTTTGAATTTCCACAAATGACATGAAGTGAGTCTGAATCATAGAGAGCTTGCTGGTCACTGGCAATACACCCTTGTTAAGTGTTGAAGCACTTCTTGTAACAGAAGTTCAGAGATACTTTAAAGATACTTAAATCTGGTGACATTAAATCACTTAACACTAGCTATATTATGGTGTAGTAGAAAGGGATTTGGAATTAGAAGATCTGGGCTCAAAATCTGTTAACTTACTCCCTGTTTGAGCTTGAGCAAGTTATTTCTACTTTTCTAGGTCTCAATTTCCTCATCTGTAAGGAATGTAAAATGAAGATGATGTTCTCTAAGGTCCTTTCTAGTTCTAAAATCCCATAGTACTATTTTTGAAACTTTTTAAAAACTATGATAACTAATATAATTGTAGAATGATTTTTTAAAAAGCATATTTCTAGCTAGTATTTCTCTACCACCTTCCTTAACTACCTTGCAGATATCAATTCAAATCTTACATTATCATACATGCATATATACATATTTTTGAGACACCAAGATAATTTCCTCATAGTCAGGAATAGTAATATAACCTGGATATATTCTGTTATTGAATCCCTAAACCTATACTCCCTGCCTACTCTTGTTCCCCTCCCTTAGGTCCCCATTAATTGCCTCAAACATGCACAACTTACTGGGTGGTTTCCATCCATCGCGGTTGGGCTTCTGTTGACTGCCATCTCAACACTTCAGTCTGCAAAGTAGAAGATCCTATGACTATCAGTGTCCAGTCCTATGCTCTCAAGGTTAGCCCCTCCCCCAATACTTGAGGTTCTGTGGATAGGCCACCACAGTAGGTGGTTGGTAGTTCTGGTTCCTGGCATAGGAAACACGGCACAGAATCACTGCAAAGAGGTTACCTTTAACCTCCTGTAGACCTCAACGGCAAGGCTTCTACTAGTCAATAATGGTTGTAGCTGGTAAGGACAGCATAAAGCAAAAAGGCCCAGGTAGCTAAAAGTTGGAGCATCAGGGAGGGAACAAGACACATTAGCAAAAGTGTAGAGGTTCTTATGTTAGTAAAACTAGGAGGAAAGTAAGCAAATAGGATAAAAATATCCTATTTTTAGTATCTTTTAACATAAATAGATACTGGATTCTTCTTGATACAGACCAGCACATCTTAAAGTCCCTTTTTTTCCATGCTCAGATTAAAAAGAAAGTACTCAGTCTATAAACCAACTGAGTCTTCCTTCTGAAGGAAGGCAGAATGGAGGGGTATTTGCCTGGCTCCACTGTACCTGACATAAGCTGAAAATCCCTTTCTGTCAGAATCCCAGTTGCTTCACAGTCAGCGCCCTTTTCCAGTTACTACTCGAGGGCTATCATGACACTCAACAACCTTCCAGAAGCACTTACTACTAACTCTGTTCCTCCTAAGCAATGGGAGCAGCACAAATGAGATGCCCTTCCAGCATACCTCCCTACTTACTGCCTCTCCAACTCACTCTAATTGACCGTTACCCCGTGCTGGGCCAGCTATCCAGCAGAACTTGCAGAGTGGGCTTCTCAGGCAGTATTATCTCCAGTAGCTCTGGGGAGCCAAGTCTTGGAAAGTCCTAATCACTTCCCCAGCCAAAGGAGACAGGGGACAAAAGAGGTGTGTCAGCTGGCTGCCATGGTAATTTGACCAATGGTCCCCCTGGACAAATCCTAACTTTTACACGGATGATTGGATAGCTGAAGGGGTGGTTCCTAGAATTGAAGGGGATCCAGGTTTAGAGAAGTTGCTGTTCCAGGCTTTGAACGTGGAGGGCAACAAATATTCTGAAGCACATCCCATACTTTTTGAAGCCTGGGTCTCTAGATAATGTTGTCAATGTCTCTTAAGACTTATTTCCTAATCTAGCTCCCTTTCCACAAAAGGTGCTCTCAATTTGCCAGTTTCCAGGTGACCAAGTCAATTCTTGTGATTTCTTTTAGTTACTCATGAGAGGGAGCCTTGAGGCTGGATATTCTGACAGATGAATTCCCTTGGATAATCTCATAATGAGTTTGTCTTAAACACCTCTGCTTGTGAATATGGAACTAAACTACTGAGTAGAGAAGAGACTTTGAACAGGTTATTTAGCACCAAACTCATATGTGTCCTTTGGACAAATGACTTTCAATTTATGACTCTGCTCTGCTCTGTTACGTATTTTGCTGGGCGTAATCCACCAGGTAATTCTTAAGTCATAAGTTATAAGACGCTCCCAAAGTATAGTTCAGGAGTGGCAACTTTTTCCCCCAGCCTTGGAGAGCTAAATTTTGACTGGTTTGTTCTGCCAAGAATAGAAGCCAGACAAATAAGAATATACACCTACCCATCTCTCTTTATACAAGAGGGCAGAGCAAATATAATAGTACTGAGGAGCTAATACTGGGCTGACCCTAGGAAGACAAAGAGGAAGGCTATATTAAGTTCACAAGAAGGTACTTAAGTACTTGGCTTTGGTCTTACACCCTGATTGAGAAGTTGGGGAAGGATAAATACTTATTTTCCTGGCTATTAATAGAAACCTAATTATCTCACTTCTGCCATGACCTGTGATAGGTCATTGGTGGTGGCAAATAGGTAAGAAGACAAAGAAAGCCAAGCAGGTGACACTCCACCTAAAGCTTTAAGTACAAAGAATTCCAGTTATCTGCCTAACCAGAACTTTTTAAGTCCTTAGTTTATAAAAGTGTGAGAGGCATAAAGGATAAGCCCTCTGATCAGGGCAGCTTCAGGGCAAATTTTTAAGGTTCTGCAACCAGTCAGGGACAGAGGTCAGTTAAGTGTTTGGTGTAATGGCTTGGGGCCAGAGGGAGTATAGGGCTTGATTTGTAAATATTGCTCTGCTGAGGGAGCTGTGTTTTTGCCCTTTGGAGCTTAGAGCCCATAATGTAAGTGAGAGGTAAGGATTGGTAAAAGGTCCTGGAAAGGCTGCTGAGGTTGTGAAAGAGCCTCACTTTTTTCCCCTACATAGGAGGCTGAAGGGCATCAGCAGCTATTATTCTGAGATAGCCCCTAAGCTGGTCTACAAATCTATTTTATATTTTTTTGGTTCTAAGAGCCTTCTGATAAGAGCAGCTTTCTCGTTTTAGGATCTAGGACACTATTAGTTCTGAAACTAATTCTGAGGACACCATGTTTTTCACAAGTTTACCTAAACAAACCAATGCTATCAATCTTAGGAGGCAAACTTCAGAGTTGTTTGGTTTTTTTTAGTGAGGCAATCAGGGTTAAGTGACTTGCCTAGGGTCACACAGTTAGTGTCAGGTGTTTGAGGCTGGATTTGAACTCAGGCCCTCCTTGACTTCAGAGCGGGTGCTCTATCCACTGTGTCACCTAGGTGCCCCTGCTGTCTTAATTGAGGCTGATTTCCAAGATCAGGTTCTCCCTATGGATAGTGATCTTATCTAGCTCTGATGTTCTCTCTACAGAATTACTTTCCTGTGTAAGTGAAAGAGCCTGACATTAATGAAGGGGAGTTACCTGCCTTACTTTCACCTTCCTATACTATCTTCCAAACACATACAAAAACACAAGAATTCAAATCGGTCCAACAATTTATTGGTCACAATTTACATTACAATTGAGCATCATGATATAAAAATAGGGTTATTGAGATAATTTGTCTTAGCCTGACATTTTCCATTTTACTTAAAAAACCCCCAAACCCAATATTTTTCAGATCTGGTGCCTTGCCTGAGAAATGGAATTAAGCCATGGACTTGAATGTGCTCTTCAAGAGCAGGAGTCAAATCTCTTGGAATTTGAATTCATATGGCCTATTAAACATTTTTTGTTTTGGAGAACCACTCAAAGGAGCAAACCAGACCACTCACCAACCTCTTAATTGATGATGTGCCATATCTGATTCACTTCCATCCTGTAACTCCTACAAGAGCAGAATTAGCATATATGTATCAATGACTCAAGGCCTTCAGGCCTTCTTTAGAAGGTACTGCTGTACAGTGAGCAATGGCATCACAACTTGCTTCTCACTATAACTCAATATTCCAAATCTGATCATAATAAATTATGCTTTTTAATGATTGTCTTTCCCCTCCATTTTACTCCTTACACCTTTCCTTCTTCTTCCTGCTCTCTGCTCCCTCTCTTTCCCCCAGGAACAATCTACACACCCCACCCTATAAGCTTAAAAACCTGATTATCACAGAAAATTGTGAGTGGCTCACCCATACCCAGTTTCTAGATAAACAGAATTTCATTTTGTGAAAGCAATTATTTGCAGACCAACTACCAAATGATGGAACCTAGCATTAAATTAGGCAGCGGAGACATGGCTATTGTGAGCGCATGTTTTGAAGGATACTTATAACTAATAAATGTGGCTTACTCTTTTTGTGGGGTAAAACGAAGCAGAATATCCTAAAAACTTCATCAATAGAGTGGCTTTCCCTATATCATCATTAGTTCTTACACATCAGATGTTAGAGATCTTATTATATGGACCTAATTTATACCACAGATGGGGAGGGTAGAGGGTTTAAGAATTGTAAACTCATTTCTGTCCTCTCTCAGTAGTGAGAGATGGGGGAAATGGGAAAGGAATAGGCATTTATATGGCATCTACTATGTGCCAGGCACTGTGATAAGCGCTTTTTACAAATATTATCTCGTTGGATCCTCACAACAACCCTTCAAGGTAGGTTCAGAGACTGCCTCTGAACTTATTTTCTTTTAGTGCTGTGGGGAAAGGGACAGAGGAATACATATATAGTCTGTGTACCCACATAAGCATAGGGAATTGAACACTTTTGTGAAAAACCAGTTTAAACACAATGAATGTGACATTTTCTCAGTCATAGGCAAAATGCCCATCCCACTGAGAGGGTCACCTTTTCAAACAGGTATTAGTACCCAACACGACAGAACTTCAAGTCCTTAGTTTCATCTGTGGATAAGCCACTGTTATCATGCCTATTATGGAGGATAGGAGGCCTCCAAGTCCAATGACCCCAGAATTAGACTTATAAATATCAAGTTGGTCCAAAGGATTCAGGATATCACACAGGTTCTTCACTGTGTCCAATAGCAAGGGGGGATGCTTCCTCAGAGATCGAAACAAGAGAAGGAGAAAGGACTGGAGCCACTCTGTTTCTTCATCAGCTACACAAGGTCCGAGGTGGTTCTGGGGCATTGATTTCTCTCTTTTTGCCTTTTCCTGTGCAACGTGCTCCATTTGTAGGGAGATCTCATACACATCTCTGATGATGTTCAGCAGGAGTGAATAGTAGTAATGACGTGCAGCCAACTTTCGCCATTTCTCCTTGTTGATGTCAGAAATGAGTCCTACACTCCTCACCCAAAGGATAGTGTCACAGACAAAGTAAATCACACGGTTCAGGTTGGCTATTGTTAGGCAGAATCGGGGAACAAGTTCAGACACATGAACGCTCTGTTTAGTTGCCTGGACAGCGTGTACCACGTTACCTAGTCTGAACCCTGTAAGAAAAACCCATGAGTTTTAGCATAGCTTCTCACTGACACTGAAAACAGAATCACTGAGGACAGATTATTGTTGTGGTAATAAACTGACTTTTCATCAATTTATTGGCCTTTTCGATTCTGTACCCTAATTGAGGGAAATACTTTTGTAGAGTATAATATGAGTAGTTGGAATTATTATGAAAGACATTGAAGTGTTTTGTTGTATGCCTGTCTCCTACCACTACAATGGATATCTCATTCTAATTCAAGGCCATTAACAAATAAAGACTGCAATGTCTGAATTATACAGAAACATTTCTCTGGAATGAAGGAGTTGTTGAATTATCACTATCATAACCTTCAGTTACTACATTCTTTTTTACCCCCCAATCAACAAGCATTTATTAAATGCCTTTGTGCCAGCCATTGGGAACACAAAGGCAATGAAACAGCTCCAGTCTTCAAGGTGCTTATAACATACAAGAGAGATAACATATATATGCATTAAATGCTTTATACAAAATAAATACAAGATAACTTTGAGGAAGGAATCAGCAGCTGGGATGGGAGGGATCAGAAAAGACCTCATAAAGAAGGTGATTCTCCCCACCCCCAATTTATTATTTTTAATATTTTTTTTTGGAAATTTTTGAGTTCTGAAATTTCTCTCTCCCTCTCACCCCTCCCCCACTCTTTGAGAGGGCAAGAAATAGCAATTATACATATGAAATAATAAAAAACATATTTCCATATTAGCCACATTTCAAAAAAAAAAAGAAAATAAAGAATTATGCTTTATTCTGCATTCAGATTCCATCAGTTCCTTCTCTGGAGACAGACAGCAATTTTTCTCATAGTTTTCTTCAGAAATGTCTTGGATCATTGTACTGCTGAGAATAGCTAAGTCATTCACAGTTGATCATCATACAATATTGCTGTTACTGTTACAATGTTCTCCTAGTTCTGCTCACTTTACTTTTTATCAGGTCATATAAGTCTTCCCAGTTTTTTTGAAACCATCCTGTACATCATTTCTTAAAGCACAATAGTATTCCATCACAATCACATACCACAACTTGTTCAAACATTTCCCACTTGATGAACATCTCCTCAATTTCCAATTCTTTGCCACTACAAAAAAGAGCTGCTATCAATATTTCTGTACAAATAGGTCATTTTCCTTTTCCTTTGATCCCTTTAGCATACAGATCTAGTAGTGGTATTGCTGGGTCAAAGGGTATATACACAGTTTTATAGCTCTTTGAGAATAGTTACAAATTGCTCTCAAAAATGGTTGGATCAGTTCACAACTCCACCAACAGTGCAGCAGTGTCCCAATTTTTCCACATTCCCTCCAACATTTGTCATTTTCTTTTTCTGTCACGTTAGCCAATCTGATAGATGTGAGGTACTATCTCAGAATTGCCTTAATTTGCATTTTTCTTATCAATAGTGATTTTTCATATGACTATAGTCTTTGTTTTGTTTTTTAGGCAATTGGGGTTAAGTGACTTGCCCAGGGTCACACAGCTAATAAGCATCAAGTGTTTGGTCTGAGGCTGGATTTGAACTCAAGTACTCCTGACTTCAGGGCCAGCGCTCTGTCCTCTGTGCCACCTAGCTGCCCCTATAGTTTTTATTTCTTCTGAAAACTTCCTGCTCATATCCTTTGACCATTTATCAGCTGGGGAATGACTCAAATTCTTATAAATTTGACACAGTTCTCTACATATTTGAGAAATGAGGCTTTTAACTGAGAAACTTGCTGTAAAATTTTTTCTCCCAGTTTCCTTCCTTTTTAAAAATTAATTAATTTATTTATTTTTAGTTTTCAACATCTCTTTTCCTTCTAATCCTGGCTGCAATTACCACATTCTTCAGGGGATTTGTTGTTTTACAATTTAATTACTCTAAGACTTGCTTCCCATGTCTCCTTCCTTTAATATATCTTTTATATCTCTGACAGATTAATCTTCCTTTTTTTCTCTACTATTTCTTTATTTATAGCATTTTTTTAAAAAATGATTTCAAAAAACAAAAAAATTCTGATTTCCAAATTCTCTTTCCTCCTGCTCCCTCATTGTAAAGCAAGCAATCTACCAATTATAGTAAATGAAAGAATTTCCATATTTGCCATGATGCCAAAAAACACACCAAAAAACATAAAATGAAGTGAAAAAAAGTATGTTTCAATCTGTACTCAGAGTTCATCAGATTTCTCTCTGGAAATTGATAGCATTTTTCATCATAAGTCCTTTGGAATTGTCTTAGATCATTGCAGTGATCAGAATCGCTAAGTCTTTCACATTTGATCACCACTACAATGTTGGTGTTACGGTGTACAATGTTCTGGTTTTGCCTTAATTCATATCTTCCCAGGTTTTTCTAAAACCATTCTATTTTTCATTTCTTTAGGTACAATAATATTCCATCACAATCATATGCTATAATTCATTCAGCCATTCCCCAACTGATGGGCATCCCCTCAATTTCCAATTCTTTGCCACCACAAAAAGAGATGCTATAAATATTTCTGTACATGTGGGTTTTTTTCCCCATTTGTCTGATCTCTTTGGGATACAGACCTAGTAGTGGTATTCCTGAGTCAAAGGGTATGCAGAGTTTTATAGCTCTTTGGGTGTAGTTCCAAACTGTTCTGCAAATGATTGGATCAGTTCACAACTCCACCATCAGCTCATTAGTGTCCCTATCTCTCTAAGTCCTCTCCAGCATTTACCATTTTCCTTTTCTGCCATGTTAGTCAATCTGAGATGGTACCTCAAAGTTGTTTTAATTTGCATTTCTCTAATCAATAGTGCTTTAGAGCATTTTTGTCATGTAACTATTGATAGCTTTCATTTCTTCTTCTGAAAACTGCCTGTTCATATTCTTTGGCCATTTATCAATTGGGGAATGGCTCTTACTTTTTACAAATGTGGCTCAGTTCCCTACATATTTGAGAAATGAGGCCTTTATCAGAGATATCTGCTGTAAAAAAAAACTCCCCCTCACCAATTTCTTGCTTTCCTTTTGACTACCTTTTGTTTGTTCAAAAACTTGTAAATTTCATTTAACCAAAACTACCCATTTTATTTCCTGTGATCCTCTCACCTTCTTGTTGGTTATACATTCTTCCCTTATCCACAGATCTGACAGATAAAATTTTCTATGTTCCCCTAATTTCCTTATAATATCACCCTTTATGTCTAAATCATGTATTCACTTTTACCTTATTTTGGCATACAGCGTAAGATGTTGGTCTGTACCTTGTTTCTGCCTAACTGTTCTCCAGTCTTCCCAGAAATTTTTGTCAAATGGTGAGTTTCTGCCTCAAAAGTGTGGATCTTTGGGTTTATCAAACACTAGATTACTATGGCCATTTAACACTGTGTATTGTGTACCTAATCTATTCCAGTGATTTACCATTCTATTTCTTAGCCAGTACCAAATTGTTTTGATGATTACTATTTTGTAATATGGTTTGAGATCTGGTAATGCTTAGGCTGCCTTCATTCACATTTTTTCCATTAATTCCTTTAATACTCTTGACCTTTTGTTCTTCAGACCAATCTTTCTAAAATAATATTTCTGTGTTATTCCCTTGTTCAGAATTGCCTCTCAAAGCTGAGAGGAATAAACAGAGAAAACACTTGTAGAGGAATCAGCAATCCTGGATTCTAGTCCCACCTGTCACTAAGAATAGGCCTACACAACGTGTGGCCCACTTATGGCTCATGGGCCGCATTCCAAAGGATTTTAGGCAGCTTGAAAAAAATGTAGAGAAAAATATCTCCTATATTTTTCATGGACCACCTGAAATCCTTTGACATGCGTGCAGGCCACTCAGGCTGTAGGTTGTACAAGCCTAAACTAGAATATCATTACTTGTGATGACAATGACTTAAACAGGTGTAAAATGCTGACAACTTGTATATTTTATATATATATTTTTTAATATATATATTTTTTATTTTTATATTTCCTAGCCAGCTAGGAAAAAAGCCTAAAAAGATTTACTCATCTCTCCATCACTTACTCCAAGTGAAGAGTAGGAGGAAGAAGAAAACAGGGAGTCAGAAATATGTAGTGGGAAGGCATTAGAAGGGTAAAAATTAAAGTATGACAGCTCTACTTTTTCAAAGAGCCTGAATATAGGTCCTAGAAGCTAGAAGAATGTGAAAAAGTTGCCTTTCTTGACTTGTCCAAACATTTCAATGATTTTAGGGTAAAAATGAGCTAATGGTCCTACTGGTTCTGATTACGTGGGAAGAAATGGCATAGCACCAAAAAACTCAGCATCATGCCTGTGCGATGGCCCTTTGTTACTAAATCATTTACTTTCTTTGTCTCTTTCAGTTGCCCCATCTGCAAAATGAGGTCAGCAACACTGGATAATAGCAACAAGTACTATCAAATACAAATTATAATTAGAAAGTGATATGAACACTACATGTTCCAAGGCTAAGGATTCTCAACTAGGAGGCTGTGTTGCTCAAGGGACAGTGTACTTACATTTACGGCCAGTGCTCACACTAGATTCCAGTTTCTTGAGCTTCATTACCACCTTCTCTCTATCAGCCTTAGGCTCTAATAAATACCTAAGCAACATGCATGTGTACTGAATGGCTCTGGAATGGAAAAAAAGTGAGGAGAATGATTTATAAGTTAAACAAAACAATTCATCAGAAGGGAAAGAGAAAGGTACATTGCTAAAGGCAAAGTACTCAGGATGATTTCTATGAAGCAGAACTTATAAGAGGAATATTCTGCACCAGCTGCACAAGGCCAAAGGGTAGCACAAGTAATGAAAATGCAACACAAAGATGATGGCAAAGGACTTTGAAACAATCCAGCAAAAAGCAACCATTTTATTGACATGAGTGGTAGGAATAAAAGTGGATGGGGATTAAGGACAGAAATAGCTCAAAAAGCCATCTCGTGTTTGAATCAAGTATACAAAAGGGACCAGATACAAAATAAAGGCCCATAAGAGACTATGTACAACATGACTAGTATAACAGACTACAGAGGACTGGCCTTAGAGTCAGGAAGACCTGGGTTAAAGACCTGAGGACATCCTAGCTCTGTAATCACTGACAAATCAAGCAACTATCTTGCTGATTTGTACTGGGAAGTTGCCACACCAATGAGTTCCTGCACTGATGAAATGACAGGCCCAGGAAAAACAATATGTATTATTACATACAGAAGAAAAGATATTTTCTTATACGTGGCTTTCAAATGGGGTTAAATCTAATAAATAAAAAGATATAAAATATAAATGGAAATCAACTTGAATGAATACTCCATTTTAATATTCAGCTCAACAGAATGTTTCTTCCATGTTATAAATCTACAGCCCCAAACATTGTTTCATAACATAGACACAATGAATTAGAAACCCTGAGTCACAGATATTCACAAGCCCCAGCACATTTAGCAGTCCATATGATTAGCTAACTACTTCATAGCAAAGTGCTTCTTTTTCCATACTGCATTTCTGTAATCACATTTTAATATCTATATATTAAACATTCTGACCAAAATTTAACATGATATTCAGAACGTTGTATCAATGATTTGGGAGCCAAAGGTTTATCGATAAATTTGGGGGTTTTTTCCTTTTCATTTTAAAAAAGAAAAGTGCTTTCTAGCCATCTGGAAGTACACAAAAAAAAGCTATACCCTTTGACTTGGTAACCCCACTGAAATATAATCCAAGGAAATAATTAAGCAGAAAAAAAGATTTAGCTGTGCAAATATATTTACAACTGTGTTATTTATAATAGCAAAAAACCTAAATCACCTAATCGTCTTGGGATTAGTTAGGATTAAACAAACTATATTAATGCAATAAAAGCATGATGTCACTGTAATATATGAAAGTTGATTAAGAATAATAATAGAATTAAGTCCTGTATACATACTGACAAATTATGTTGAACATTTTTCAGCATGTAAGGCTAAAGAGGTTATGAGTATTATAGACTTTTATCGTATAGTTAAGTAAACTCATATATATGAGCTCCTTGGCTATAGATCCTCAGATTAGGTCCAAAAATAAGATATTTTCCCTGAAGGAAAGTTTAAAGACTAGAGGGAGACCCTCTCATTTTAAAGAAAGTCTGCTCCTGGGGCAGTTAGGTGGCATAGTGAATACAGCTCTGGCCTTGGAGTCAGGAGAACCTGAGTTCAAATCTAGCCTCAGATAGATACTTAACACCAGTGAGTGACCCTGGGCAAGTCACTTAACCCCAATTGCCTAAAAAAAAAAAGGTTTACGCCTATTGTTAGTGAGGAGATTGGATAAAGTTCTGCAAAATAATAGAGCAGAGATCTGGGATCTAGCAGAGTGCATGTATAATGAACAACTGTACATCCATCCTGTGTATGCTTATGCTGATATTTTATTGAAGTGTACTGAAATATAGCATTTCTGTTGTACTGGGAAGCTCATCATAGAAGTCCAAGAGTATTAGCAAAACTGGAAAAATAGCCAAATGAAATTGTAAATTTAACTACCTGAATTTGAATTTGGGCAGGATGATTCCTAATCAAGTTTTTATGAGGCACAGTAAAATACTTTCTAATTATTTGTGCTTAACATTTTATAGGTACAGAACTGTCAAATCCTGTGGTGCAGTGAAAAAAATGTACTGTATCTCAAATAAGAAGGCCTGAATTCAAATTCCTGCTCTGTGTGACCTTGGGTAAATCATTTATGGCTCCATGGGTCCGTTTCCTCATCTTTAAAATAGAAGTTAGGCTAAATAATCTCTAAGTCACAACTCTAAATCTATGATTCCCTTTAACTAAAAGCTGGGAACAGGGAGTACTATCAGGGGCATCTCATTTCTAAGCATACCATAAAAAGGGATTCATCACAGAATTCTTTCTTAGGACATCTGACATCAATGACTCTTGGTTTGTTTCCCTTCTCAGAAGAGCAAACCCTAAAGTCCTCGTCTTAAGAAAACTCCTCCAGGACAGACTGTCCAGTGTTTCCTTTCACTGGGAAAAACTATGAAGAAACAAAGTCCTCGGTTTTGGTTTCACGATGTTAATGGCATCAGGAATTTTGCAAGAATACACTGATTTCTAAGCTGAAAGGCATTTATACAACAGGTCCTTTGTGTGAAGAGAGGCTGAGATGGGGCCCTGGGGCAGGAGTTTTCACTCAAATTGGAAGGGTTTGTGGTTTCCTCCGGCTTTATCTACGTTTTCCCCCCAAGTCATACATTTTTAAGCATTTAGTCCGTCTAACCCTTTCCTTCCTTCTGATGAAACTAACTGGGTCCTAGCGGACCCGAAGTTGGGCAAAAGGAGAAGTCAAGGCCCGAGGGAGTGTGTCCTTTCGCTGGCTCGCCACTTTTCACGTACATAAAGAAATGTGACCCCAGGGCAGTTGAGGGTCAGCAGGGCCAGGGATCACGCGGAGGCCTCGGGTATCTGCTTCGGCCGCTCCCCGGCTCCCGGGGGAGGGAGTCGGGGCCTTTGGCCGGACTGGGATGGGGTCCAGTTAGGTCTGCAGGCGCGCACTGTGCAGCGGCATGTGAGGCCGGAAACCCAGACTCACCTGAAGAGCCGGTCCCTGCCCTGAGTCTGGTTGGTGAAGCGAGCGAAAGCGTCCATCTCGCCGGCCCGCCCCCCCACCTCCCCACCGACCTCGGTCAGGACAGGCCCGAGTAGGGACCGCACCGGAACAGAGGGCGCCGCAGTCCCCCGGGGCCCGGGTGACCAGACGCTCTTCGGCCCCGCCGGACCGAGCTCCCTCCACCCTCACGGGGACTGCACTACCAAGGGCGAGGGCGCGGGCTGGAGGAAGGAGGGACCGCCCCCACTCCGCCTCACCCCTCTCCGAACCTAAAGCCTCAGCCAGAGGCCGGCAGAGGTCGCAGCTTCGAGGACTTCCAGGCTTGAGCCGGAAGTGAGGGTTACCGCGGCAACAGGGTGGAGAGACGCCGAAAAGAGAGCGAGCATTTTCCCGGCAGAGCCAGATACCAGGTTAGCCTGGCGACGGGGCTCTAGTTAAGACGCCTCAGTCCTACCTTTCCGGGACAGCGAAACCTCCGTGGCTGGTGGCCTCCTGGGTGGGTGCTCCTCCCGTCTCCGTGCGTTTCTCGGGTGCGTCCAACCCCGTCCTAGCGCCCTCCCCTGCCCTCTCTCCATGCGAGAGCTTCCAAGAATTTCCCTTGACCACGCCGCCTGTGTGGGGGATAGCGCACCGGGCATAGAGTTAGGAAGACCCATTTTCACGAGTTCCGTTTCTCCACTTACTCATTTCTGATGAGCGCCATCCGCCCAAACTACACAGAAGTGGTCATACCCATCAAGATCTTGCCATCATCCACAAATGTACCATTCCCAAATTCACAAACTATGAAATTAGTTTATCTGATCACAATCTATTGTCATTCCACCTCTCTCTTTACCTTGCAACCCCAAAACCTATTTCTTGTCACCATAACTTCTAATATTTCCAACTCCTTGGTTCTTTTCCCGGCAATCACCCCTGCACTTCTCCAGCGTACCCTGTATGGATCCTATTTGTACTTAGCAGTTTGCAAGTTGTTTCCTCTTTTAGACCGAACTCCTTGAAAACAGAGACTGTCTTTTGCCTTTATTTGAATCCCTGTCACTTAGTATAGTGCCTAGCACATAGTAGGCACTTAATAACTACTAGTTAAATGACTAACTAAAACTTGGTTGCTTACAGCATTTAAAAATTGAGTCATCCTGCAGGTCTAACTTGCATTGAATTCTAGACTATCTAGTTTAAGTTTCAGCTGCTTGGTCAATTTATACCTTAAAAGTCCCTGCCCAGTTTTCGTTTTCTCATTAGGAAAGAATTAAAGCTTCTGAGTTCATGGATAAATTATCTTTTCTCAGATAGAGTGTTTGTGGTTCTACAGAATAGATAAAGTCTGTAAATTATAGAGTGTGGGGCTTTGGAAATCAGGGAGGAGGAAAGATTATCCAGAAGGGTAGTCAGCAGTCTCAAATGCTGCAGAGAATTTAAGGAGGATAAAGAAAGAGAAAAGGCCTTTGAATTTGCCACTGAAGAAGTCATTTAATGTCTTTTGAGATGGCACTTCCAGTAATGATGGGGATGGAAGCTAGATCTCAAGGTATTGAGCAAAGAAGTATTTTATGCAGTAGAGCCATGAAGTAAAGATATTTTTCAAGAAGTTTAGTGCTGAAGGGAAAAAAAGAGATCAGATAGTACTTGGACATAGGTAGACGGATTAAGGAAGGGCATTTTTTATTGGAGAGACCTGAGCATGTCTGTAGGCAGATGGGTAGGAGCCAGTGGAAAGAAAAACTGAATGTCCGTGAAGCAGAATGTACAGTTTTTGGAGAGAGATTCTTAAAGAAAAGTGATGAGGAGATGGAATTAAGAGGACAGGTAGAAAGAGAAAGGACACTTCTTTTAAGGCAGGAGAAAGGAAGAAGAGAGAGCAGGGAATGATAACTGAGAATTTTTGAGAAGAGTTTGTTAACAGGTTTTTCTGTGTAGTCTGGACAGGACTGGTCTCTAACCTGTGAATATCTAGAGCCACACAAAGCAGGCCTAGAGACAGGAGTGACAGGAATCAAGTAGCAGTTTGATTGATCAATTTCAGAGTAAGGAATGCTCTCTATACTGGAGTAAAGGCACAGCTTATATACATAAATCACAAGTCGGGGTGGGGGAAAAGGGGGATTACAAAGCAACAATTTCTAGGGTTTGAGTGGTTTCCCACAACGAGCCCAGAAGTCCGAAATACAGGTGTTCTGGAGTCCTGTGGGAATTGCATTGTTTCAAGTCTTTGGGGTTGTTACTTAGTGGGATGCAGGACCAGAGTTCTGTGATGAGAACAGGTTCTACCATCTTTGATTCACTTCACTTAACATTCATGGGCACAGGAATGTAGTGATTGGGAGAGCTTTGTCAAGGGTTTGATTGGTCATTTCAAGCTACATTGTAAGTCTCTGACTCCTAAGCCAGAGTCTCCTGAGAAATCTAAATTATTAGTATATGCATTATACATATCATAGAGATTGATAGAAAAATCATAATTCCCTTCACAAGTTAAAGGATCAATTATCTTGATCTCAATAAAGTAGGCTTAGGTCATCCACTGTAAGTTGGGGACTTAAAGAAAGAGTGAACAGTTTGGAACAGCCACAGTATGTAATTTTACAGATGATGAAAGGAGGCCCAGGAAGATGAAGAAGGAATTTTTAAATAACAGAAAATTTGATGTCATTATTTGTTAACCAGTCAGTCAGTAAATATTAAGTGCCTACTTGTGCCAGTCTAAGCACTGGAAATACAAAAAGAGGAAAAAATAGGCCTTGCCCTTAAGGACCTCACAGTCTAAAGGACTAGGACTACATGCAAACAACTATGTGCAAACTACGTACAGGATAAATTGGAGATAATCAATAGATGGAAGGCACTAGAATTAGGGAGGAGTGTTTAAATTGTAGCATGATGTTAGGCATAATCACTTTTTTTTCCGCTTTTTTTGGTGAGGCAATTGGGGTTAAGTGACTTGCCTAGGGTCACATAGCTAGCGAGTGTCAAGTGTCTGAGGCCGGATTTGAATTCGGGTCATCCTGACTCCAAGGCCAGAGCTTTATCTACTGGGACACCTCCCTGCCCCCATAATCTCTTTTAATAGAGTTTGGTGAATACTGAAAAAGCTTTACTTGGGGAAGCTATGCAATATTTATTTTTCTTGGGAACACTGTAGTAACTTTAAGCAGATTAGTGTCTCTGAAGTTTAGAAGGTGAGAAAGAATTCAACAAACACAGTACCTGCTATGTATAGAGCACTGTGCTAGGTGCTGGGAAAAATACAAATTTTAGATAATGAGCATTTTGACAATTCATATTTAAAACACTTTAAGATTTATAAAGTTATTCCACCCCAATAACCCTATAGAGTAGAGAGGTCAAGTCTCATTATTTTCATCTTACAGAGGAGACGTGTTCTTAGAGGATAAGTAACTTCTCCATGTTTATACAGCTAGTGAGTGCTGGAACCAAGGTGTGAACCTAGGCCTCTCAAACCCGAAACTCTTTTCCTCTACCATTTTGCGTCTCTCAACATCATCCTTGTCCTCTTGGACATTATAGCCTAGTAATGAGGCATAAAAATAGATAACACACTATTGTATGATAAGTGCATTAGAGAAGTACCAAAAATGGTACTATTGGATTTTGTGGTATTCAGTCAGAGGCTGATGAGACAACTTGTCAGCATATTATAGAAGGGATTCTTGGTCAAATATTCTTCAAATTCTAAGATTCTGTTTTTCTGCCTAAGATTCAAAGTTGATATTAACAGGGAAGCTCAGAGAAAACTTCACGGAGGAAGTAGTATTTGAATTGGTCTTTAAAGGATGAGTAGGAAGTCAGCAGACAAAGATAAAAGGAGGGTGGGCAGCTAGATGGCGCAGTGCATAGAGCACCGGCCCTGGAGTCAGAAGGACCTGAGTTCAAGTCACTTAATCCCATTGTCTAGCCAAAAACAAAAACAAAACCCAAAGATAAGAAGGGAAGACATTCCAAGCTAGAGTGAACAAAGGTAGACGATAGATATGGTAACAAGGGGCTTGAGAGTTCATCTCAAATTTTTGTGAGTTAGTGCCCAAAGTGAAAATAATAACTTTGGATGTCAGAGTAACAGTAGTTGATGGAAGGCAAGAAAATGAGATTGAGTAGTTGGAATTGTTTTCCTCTTCACAATCTTTAGTTTGCTCCAGGTAAGTAAGTAGTATGATGAGGAAAGTGTTATCAGATATCATTTGGGTCATAGGCCTTGGAACGTAGGGCACGTCTATTTACAAAGACCTGTCATCTTATCAGAATATGTGTTTTCTCCACTACTGCCCATTATAACTCCTCCATAACTTTTCATCGTGTATGTTTTTTATAAAAAGTTTTATGTATGTCCTTTGCATTTACATCATGATTGTTTCAACTTTAACCCCAGATTGACAAGAAAAGCCCTATTCCTTGTGACAAAGAAAAACAAACAAAAATATCCCCTACAGTGACTGCATCTGACAATATATCAAATATTCTGTTCTAGTAGTCTCCCACCTCTCTGCCATGAGGTAGGAAGTATATTTCATTATCTGTTTTCCAAGACATTTATTGGTTCTTTAGTTTATTCAAAATTCAATTTTGTTCCACATCTTCGTGTTTACTCAGTATTTAACTCTGTGTTTTAATTGTGTTTCTTATAAGGAGCAAATTGTTGGGGGGGGGCTATCATTTTCCATTCCTTTATCCTTTTTATTTGAGAATTTAATCCATTGTATTTAGGATTTTAATTGTTAACTTTGTGGTATAGTTCCAAATTTTTTCCAAATGTGTGAATTTAATGATAAGTATCAGGAAAGCTATTGAGTATCAGTAGAGAAATTCTCACCTTACATCACAGCTGACAGTGGGGAATATACTTGATAAATAAGGTAAGGAGCATGGTATAATGAAAGTTCAGGTTTCCAGAGAGAATAGTCTCATTATGTTTGAATTAATAGGAAATCAGGCTCATAGACATTG